CCCTATTGCGAGGAACGTGCCTCTATTGCAAGGAATGTATCGTTATTGACTTGTATCAATATTGCAAGCAACGTATCCTTATTGATTTATGTCCCTATTACGAAGAATGTGTCCCAAACGCGAGGATCGTGTCCCTATTGCGAGGAACGTGCCTCTATTACAAGGAATGTATCGTTATTGACTTGTATCAATATTGCAAGCAACGTATCCTTATTGATTTGTGTCCCTATTACGAAGAATGTGTCCCAAACGCGAGGATCGTGTCCCTATTGCGAGGAACGTGCCTCTATTACAAGGAATGTATCGTTATTGACTTGTATCAGTATTGCAAGCAACGTATCCTTATTGATTTGTGTCCCTATTACGAAGAATGTGTCCCAACCTCGAGGATCGTGTCCCTATTGCGAGGAACGTGCCTCTATTACAAGGAATGTATCGTTATTGACTTGTATCAGTATTGCAAGCAACGTATTCTTATTGATGTGTGTCCCTATTACGAAGAATGTGTCCCAACCGCGAGGATCGTGTCCCTATTGCGAGGAACGTGCCTCTATTGCAAGAAATGTATCCTTACTGTCTTGTGTCCCTATTGCAAGGAACGTATCCTTATTGACTTGTGTCCCTATTGCAAAGAACGTGTCCCTATTGCACGGAACGTGTCCCCCGCGCGCTATTATCCTCCTATTAATGTCCCTTCGCGATGTTACCGGCTCTTTGTGAGTGCTCCCGCTCGTTAAAAGTCACCGCCACGCGGAAGGACTCGGTTAATTATCGAGTCCGTCAGGAAATCAATCGCAATTTGTCGCTCGTAAAACCTAATTACGCGATAATGTCTATCGTCGCTCGCAATTATGAACGCATTATGGCGCTTGCTTGATGCTCGAACGAACGGACCAAACTCGATGGTCGAAAAAAACACGCCTGACTCATCCTTGGACGATCATTTCGAAAATGTATTCTTCATTTTGCAATGGTCGATGTTCTCACGAAATAGTGCAAGAAAATACTGCTATAAATGAACGAAAAGGAGAGAGAGGAGAATTGTACGCGTCGTCGCAGAATACAATCGAGCAAACAGGCGCAAACGGTGTGACCGTAAACAACAATTACTCGACGTACCGTGTCAAAGTACGATGTACGGGCTCGACGAACGATCCTCGAAAGCGACGACAAATAAGAATTGTCGAGCTCTACTGTTCCCTTCCCCCCTCCCATGACTTCGGGTGCACGAGAGAATAAAATCCATTTTTACCGCGTCGTGCTCCGGGGGTTCGACTTGATTTTATTGGCGGCCCCGAAACGCGCGGACCAGAGGCAAAGGGAAATAAAAAAAAAGGAAAAAAAAAGAGGAAAAAAAAAAGAAGCACGGATGAACGCGATTCTTCCTCTCTTGTGAGACAGGAGCGCGTTGCTGGCCGCGACACAGTTCGATATTCAGCCTGTGTGTGCTTACGAAATTTATTAGAGAAAAATCATTCGAGTTGAAAAAATGTCTGGTATTCTCGATCAAGTGTTTAATTGTCTAGGAGTAACCGGAGACTCGTAAAACTTTATAATCAATCCTCTTTTCTTGCTCCTTTAAATTACCACTGGAGATCCTCGTTAGGTATTACAATAATATTGTTAAAAAATGTACATATATTTTATATATACTCACTGTCCGAATATTTTTGCAATACTAAATTTCAATGATATTTAGGTCATTGTTATTATGCAAAAAAAACTATGTGCGTTAAATAAACAAAGTTTTTAATAATACTATTGTAAACAATAGACTCTGGCACACCATGGTGTACGAATATTACTACCAGTCACTGTACATCGAATCGTCGGAAACGAATGACTAGAATCTTCTGAGGTTTACGAAAGCCTGTCGACTTCTTTGGTTCCATCGATTTATAAAAGACGACCCACAAAGTCGTTATCTTTAAGATTCTGTATAATTGCATACATCGTACAGGCATATTTGATTTGAATATTCCAACTAGATTACGTAGCCCGCCGATAAGGGGAATTTGCATAATCGTTCGTAATCCCGCGATAAGCACGTTCTGTTTAAAATATTCATCGAAGGATCCCACGCATTCTCGATAAAGCTCGATTATACTCGGATTCCCCAGTTCGAACGATACGTGGTCGGATATCGGTACATTTTTTTTTTAACGAGGGGAAATACTTGATAAAGGCTGTACCGCCTCTGCTACACTAACCCAGAAACTGCAACCGCGACGTACTCCGTCTCCGTTTACGCCAGTTGAAACGTATCGTGCGATGACACATTGCCCGACTCGTACGAGCGGATCCACACGAGAACTTGTTAAGGAGTCATTATTTTAATTATGTATGTTTTCATGACTATGTATTTTATTTTATTCTGTTCAGAAGCGTGTCTAGTAAGTTTCTTGTTTTATGTACAACCGTTGAAATTACGCGGGACTGTAGTAATAGGTTTTATTTTGTTCAAATGTGTACTACGCCATGAGGTGTGTCCAGTTGTACCTTGTATTATTAGAACTGTAGTCAGTGCAACGTTCTCTATATGTATAGTGTTTATTACTGTTCAAATATATATTCTATTTTACTAATATTAGAACTGATAATGTTTGATCTTTCCTTCTGCAATAAACATAACATAACAACAGAACTACACAGATTGTCCAACCGGTTCACTGTGATAGGGCCCGTATACAAACGGCGATTACGCGGGCACGCGCGATCGTTCCGTCACCGCAACCTTAAAACGTGCCCGAAACCGAGTGCCACTGGCCTCGATCAAAGAAACGAAATCAAACGTTCGATCGAATCCCACGTCACAAAACAGATAGGTTAACTAACACGGTCTCCCCAAGAAATCATGCTGTTCGAAAAGAAAACCAACAAAAAAACATAATAATAAGAAAGATCGATCACCTTACGTATCGACGGGGATCCAGACGGGTATCGGCGTCGATTAACGGTAACGCTGGTCAGAAATCGGGGAAATATTCCGGGCCTGGTCGAACTCGCGTCCACGACCTCCTGGTACGCTCGTCCACGTATCCAGCTGCCATCTGGCTCTTTTGTCCCGTTTCCCTCGACCGGTAACGCGACCGGGACACACAGACACGTACACACACACCGCGAACAAACGGGGAATTGAAAGAAACACTGGGGGACATCCAAAAATCACGATGGCAAACCGAGACCGCGCACACGATTCACCACGCGCACGATTAACGTTCGTTTGTTCCTTCCTGGTTGCACGCGAAACGGAAGAACATACACCGCGCGTGAGACAATTCGTGACAAGCTGCCACCGTCGACCGATCGTCCACGGCGCGATTACTTAGCTCCCAGAAACAAACATACACACATGCAGAAAGAAAAACACACACAGAAACGTTCGCGAAGTAGTCAGCATGAAGGTAAGAGCGCGCGGAATGCCACGGAACCGCTGGCACGTATGGACGGTTCCGTACTACCGAGAGCGTGACAGCGGATACTACATTCGAAGGTTAGATTCACTCGGTTCCTCGGTGTGCTGGGGACCTCTCGCCGTGTTCTCTACGGCGAACCTCCCCCCCCCCCCCCCCCCCCCCCCCCCCCCCCCCCCCCCATCCTCCCCACTCCCTCGTATTCCCACACCGCTATTCCCTGTCACGAACGGCGACCTGAACGTTTACCTGGCGAACGCCGGAATCGCACGAGGAAACACGAAATCGGCCGACGATTCACGGTGTCCCACGCTCGAGAAACCTACGGAGTCCAACTCGCGGCGGGGAATCGTGTTTGAAACGGAATGTGATTTCTCGAAATGGAACACGTTTTTTTCTCTCTAGACCGTTTGCTACGCAGGAGAAAAGCATTACGTGGTTTCGGGGACTTTGATTAACGCCTACTACAGCTGCGAAGTAAAGTGTAAATACTGTACCATCGCGAGCACGAAAGTGGGAGTCGGTGACGTAATTGGACGTGCTCTCGACTTTGTATCGCGCCAAGATTCGATTATCGAAGTTGCTGCGGGCTTGCCACCTGGTAGCGAACCTTTCAAACTAGTGCGTTCTTTTTTAAAGGGTGTCTCAGCAATAAGTTGAGTCTTAAATAAATTAAAAAATATATTAACTTAATTGTTTTTTTTATATTTTATTATTGATATCTTCAGAGTTATTAATGACATTAAACATGAAATAAAATGTCGGTTAAGTGGCCACCGTTGGTCTGGTGGCAGGTATGTATTCTTTTGACGAAATTTCGCAGTGCGTTTTCGAGTAAGGGGAGACGGATTTTACGAATTTGGCGTTCAATTTCTTTTTTGACTCTTTGAATTGTCTCAGAGTGTGTTTGTAACGCGCCATTTTCGTAAATGTCAATGTATTAACTAAAAAGCTACCAAATACAACTGACTCACCATTTGACAGACAAAAATGGCGCGCGATTCGAAATTCAAGTTCTTGCTGAGACACCCTTTATGTGGATTTACGAGTGAACGATCTATCGTTTCTTGACAAGTTAATGTTTTATTCGTGTATTTTGTGTGTATGTATGTACTTTTTGTTGCGTAGAATTGTTATTAATAAAATTTCATTCGATTCAAGTCATAAATGTTGTATTAGCTCGGTCTGTCACGTAATTAAAGATGGCGACGGCGCCCGTCACGGGGTGGTTCAGGAAAAATAATGGCCGGTGTTCGTATGTTAAATCGAAACCCCCCTGTCGCGTTGTATTATCGTGGGACACTCTCGTGGCAGCCGCGATCGAGCCTGCTATTGAAAATCGATACCACTTGGTACGTCTAATCGTTCGACGTGACACGTTTATCCTCTTTAACGGTCCATTTTGCCCATCGATTTCTCCCGTCGCGTTTGCGACGCGGCGTCCGACGAGAAATCGTTCAGCCACGCGAGATCGGATTCAGTCCCCCTCAACCCCCTACGATCGCTATTCTCGGTTTCTTGCTCCTCGAATTGGAGCTTAATGAAAAGACGAAAAAAAAAACGATTTTTTATTTTTAAACGACTCACCCCTCTTGTTTCCGCTTCTTCTTCGGACCCGCAGACATATTGTTCGCGACTTGATGCACTGTGAAGAAGAAAACGATTCCATTAGCCGATGGGAATTGAATTGGAATAAAGGGATAATTAAGACCGGGGCTATCGTATGATTAGACAGTTCGGAAGAAAATGGTCCGCGATCGAGATCATTTGACCCCTTGAACGTCGACCTATTTTTCTTCTTGCTTTTCTTTATCCTCAATGCCGAAACACTTTGGCCTACTTCAGTGTGAAGTACAGCCCGGAATTGGATTTTAAATAGATAAATAATAAAATTTGTTTACCTCGTATATATATTGAATCACTTCGGACTGGCTGGCGTTCTCCAACGTGCTACCGTTCACTTCTAAAATTTCATCCGCCACCTCCAGCGTGTCCGCGTTGTCGCCCGGCGAACCTGCACCGTGTTTCGAATGGTTTGAAAGTTGCCTAATAAGGTTCGGGAGGTTTTGTGAAACGAAATTATATTTGTCAAAAAAAAAAAAAAGTAAAAGAAACGATTGATAGACAGTAGAAAAAAAATCGTGGTCGGACAGTAGAAAAAGAATCATGGTTGGACAGGAAGAAAAATCGTGGTCGGACAGGAGAAAAAGAATCGTGGTCGGACAGTGGAGAAAGAATCATGGCCAGACAGTAGATAGAGAATCAGTAGAAACGGGGGTGTCGAGTCAGCCAGTAGATTGGGTTAGGTCGTGGCAAGTAGAAAGTGACTGTAACCGGTCAGACAGTAGATACGGACGATCCGATTATTTCGAATGGGAGCAAGAATTCCTCCGTGTTATCGCACGGGTTTTCGACGAAAGAAAGACTCGTAGCAAAAAGGTGGTTAAACTTCTGCGTGCTTGACAACCCGGCCACTCATTACACGGCAGACACGCCGCTGCTAATTAAAAACGAGAAAAAGCTCCTTCCATCTGCGACAACACACGAAACATCGTTTCCTTTTCAACACGCCGTGACTGTTGTCTCATACGTTAGATTTTAACGCAACATATTTGTAACGAAAGAATCGATTTTTAGATCGAGATCTTGAAAAAAAAAAACAAGTTCTTTTGGAATTCATAAAATGGACGTCCTATTACGTCGGTTCCGTTAAAAGAGAATAATATTGGCTTCAGACACCGTAGAACTTAAAAGGGGTACTCTCGGAGAAATTTTCCGGAAACAATAGGTTTGGGGTGAGTTTGACTTGGTCTTGGTATTTTACTGAAAACTGTGTTTCATTTTACGTAAAAAAGAATGTAGGAAGTATTACAAATTTCGTCGCTGTCTGTATCAGAATGCATAGTTTGTATTACATACGAAAAATCTAAGGTATTCGTGGGAAAACCGGTAAAGCAGATATGTTCAGGTTTCGGGTACTAAAAGGGTCCAAAAGAAAAACTGGAAACATCCGAGGGCTAAATGACGCGATGGATCCGAGTATTTAAATGAAACCACGATCCAGAGACAAGCACGTGTAATCTGATCGAACCGTCAGAAGCGTTAAATAACAAGGGGAGGGGGTGGAGGGAGTGTGTGGGATAGATTAATCGGGTGTAGCGTACCCGAATACCTCCTCCGGGTACTCGTGCACCCGACTTATCGCTGCTGGAGTATCTATAGACGGTGTACAAGGGAATCGATGCTCACCGTACAGTTTGATCTTGTCATTGTGGTTGATCAGTATGATAATGTATCCTCCTAGATCGACCATTTTCGCTGTCACGAACGGGTAGACGATCGGTCTACACAGGTCAGAGAACGTAGGAGAGCCGGATGACGGCCTGAATCTGTTGACCAAGGCGTGCTGCACATATAACACCCACACAGACACACACACGCGCGCGCGCACAGAGCACACGTTTTACAGGGCCACCGGCGTCATCACCGAAAAAACCGAGACGACGATATTATAACGTCGTTACCGCGTGCCATTCCTTCCGTTTCATCTCGCATCTTCGCTTAACGTTCGATGGTACTATCGACCTCGCGCGACCTACTTTTCACCGACAATATCTACGCTTCCTGTAAACGTAAACGCGCATCCTTTCTATATCTCGTTTGTCCTCTCTGATTTCTCTCCCTGTTCGGGGCGAGACACCTCCCGCCAAATGGGTCCAACAGCCACGCACACAAAGTTTCCTGTATATGGTTCAGGTGAATCTTTTATTCGACGGTGTAACAACCGATCCCCACGAGTCGTCCCTCCCCCCTAGGGAGGAGACTTACCGGGAAACTTCAGTAACGGGATCGCGTACCACCGATTCAAATCAACACGAGTATTCCTTCTTAAAAGTGGTCCCTCTTAACGTGCACGTAACCTTGCCCCTGCTGTGCTCATTTTCAGTCGTTATTACACCGCCCCCTCCCCTTCTTCTACCGATGTTCTCCAGACCAAGTTCCAGAGGAATCACAGTGGATCATTTCCACTGAGTGAAAAGGATGTTTAAACGCCCTTCCAGGTCCTACAATCCAGTGCGTGTGGACACAAAACAGTAAGTCCCTTGGAGGAAACCCTCGTCGGGGCCCCGTGCAATGTGGGCCCCCCTACATCCTCGTAACGATCACTCCACTCCTCGTCGAGAGACAACACGATCCACCGTGTCTCAGAACTCCCGGTGTCCTCCTGGCTTATTGATCAACGGTCCCGCGGAACGCGACTCCTCGCATCCGTCCAGCATCATCCTTCCCGCTAGCATCCTCGAGGTTCGTGTCTCTGTCCCGCGTGTCCCGCTCCTGTGCCCCTACGATCATTCGACATATACGTGACGGGATCAACCACCCACCAGCTAGCATCCTCATGCTAGCTCCACTTCGATCGGATCCTTTCCGTGCTCCGATTAAACGCACGTCCACCGAACAGTCCCATAACGCGACGGGGACGTGTCGGTTCGTTGGACCCCCCGCGACGAACGGGCTCTTATGCAATTCCAGCCACTTCCACAGAGAACTCCCCTCCCCCCTCTCGAGATTATCTTCCCTACAACCACCCCCCGCCAACTTCTGAAGGACACACTCGCGACGCGTCCCGATTAGAGACGCAGGATACCTCCAACGAATTCTCGTTATAGCGAGTCACATCTGTGCACCACCATCGGGGAAAACCCGTTTACAGACCAGAGATCCAAGTTCCACGGTGCCCGTTACGGTTGGGTCGATCCTGCGGGACAGCCAGGACGTGATCGCCGCGTCAACATCCGTGAAATATCACCATTACCTCGTTCCGTATCCCCTCCGAACGGGGATGCACGGGATGTATACTTTCTCTCTGGCTTCGATCACAATCGGTTTCGCCCACTGAGAGATCCCCCGCGAGACACACGATCCCTCCCCGTCACACGGTCACATCGATTCACCATGTCGCGAGTATCGGCGAGGATGGGTGTGAACCCTCTGTGCGTGTTAACCGACGGCGGCTGCAGCCCTGACATCGCTCGTCACCCCGCTGTGATCCTCAACCCTCGCCGCGAAGCGGCGACAGTGGCGGCCGCCTAGCGGCGCCATCGTCGTTCACGGCGCCCACTCGCGACCGCTAACCCCACACCGTCGCACACCGCATTTCGATGCTTTTTCCTGTCCGTCCGACCGGCTTCTGACCCGTACGGGTTTCTGTATAAATTAACAAAGAAGATCGTTAGGGCATTAAACCGCAACTCGTTCAGAGAAAACGATTAATCTTTATGCTCGTCTTCTTGATTAACCGGCCGCGCCGTCAAAGAATTCCGAACTTACCGACGGTGCAGTTTATCGATTGTAACTTTCGTAACGATGGATTATAAATAAATAAAAAGAGGCTTTTTAACCTTGTTTCCAGCGATATTCACTCTCCGATACGTGTGATGATAGGCTTGATATTGGTAATTATAGTAACAAGCGAAACAACGTAGTGGATAGAACCTAGAAGACGTTCAAAGCCCACTGGAATCGTTCCAAAGCACATACGCACAATGGTGTCACGGTCCTTGGCCTTGATCGAAATATAGACGGGGATACTACGAAGAAATAGAATAATTGTCAACAGTTGTAGTACAGTAGGTCAGACGATTCCTGGACCCGTAACAATGGGAAAAGGTTAGACTCCTATTTGGATTGTATTCCGGTAATGGACGAGATACAGCATCCCTGCTGATCTTAACCGTGACACAGACTCATGAAAATTATTTCCGAATTCTGTAACTTGAAAGAACATCCGTTAGAAAAAAGAGTTGCGCCTGTGTGTGTGTATAAATTGACAAAAGAATGCTCGGATAATAGGTGACTTTAAACAGATCCGGAAAAATATAGCATCGCGTCATTAAGATTGGAAAGATAGAAGAATGAACGAACAGACTCGTGGTAGTGCCTGTGAACACTCACGTTCGGCAGATATGTGTTTCCCAGTGTGTAAATACGTGTTCGCGCACGTGCACCGGAAAAGCAGAGGAACGAGCAACCGTTGCGACAAAGAAGGAGGCAGAGAACTAGCAGACCGCGTGATCAATATAGGGCATAGGGGATGGGATGCTAGCTCTGCAATTGCCTCTGTTTAACTCTCCTCACGCGTACTCTCTTGCAGCTTCGGAACCGATGCGAACACTGTCCATTGGATCGAACTCAGAGAATGTCTTTGATCGATATATACCGGAAATTAGTCTTACGGTTCTTTCATCGACTTGAACTTCCGCTAGGGTTCGTTTCTGTTCCGATACTTCGATTGCAAATAAGAACGTGCAACATATCGATATTTTGCAGGTTCCAATTTCTTTCTCCAGTCTTGTTTAATCTCTCAAATGATATCACTCGACGATATACATCGGTTCGATAGAATTTTCACCAACGTATTCCTTCTTTCCTGTCCATTCGTGCCAAGCTACAGCTCGAAGTGCGTTGATGCAAAAAAACTGCACTTGCAGTCAATCATGTCCGAGATGGCGCTATTATGCTATTATAGCAGAAGATACATATCGCGATGACATTGTTCGCTGCAAGTTTACACTTTGATCTCATCCATAATGATAACAGAGTTATATCGCTAATCCTATGGAAAACACTGTGAACGAAAATATCCCGCGGTTCGGACACTTAGATCAGCTGCATCCGTAAACAGTGCGATAAAGAACTTTGCAGTGTTTGATGGACTACAGAACTGACAGAGGCTCGCCTGATAATGCCTGACTCATTGTTTTTGAAATGTGATTGTAGAGATACAGGCCTGCACAATTGCGCTTGAAATGCAGCATTATTACTCGTAGTCTTAGAGCGACCAAGCGCAGCAACGCATCGATCCTCTCTTGTACATTGTCGTTAGAATCATTGAATTTTGGATCTAGTCCTAATTTCTGCATCTCGTGGAACAGGAAACGTTATTGCCATTAAAATTTGCCAAAGAATTCAAAACAATGGCTGCACTCATTTTTGGATTACTAGTTTTATCTTCGATCTCTGCTACGTTTTGCAATGTTATTTATTATCAACCTGAAGCTGTGCATCTTTCCTATGGAGGTAAGGCATAGTATTTGAAATTATTTATAGTAAGTTATCCTTTGGTACACTGGATACTTAACTGTTCAGAATAATAATATTTTGTTAATCATAGATAACATCCATGATATTGTTGTGACCTGGAGCACTAGGGACGACACAGAAGAATCCATAGTTGAATATGGCATTGGAGGATTTATTCTCTCTGCTGCAGGAAATTCCACACTATTTATTGATGGTGGAAACGAAAAACAAAAGCAATATATTCATAGAGTATGGCTAAAGAATTTAACACCCAACAGCGAATATAGTGAGACAAACAGTTTCCTGTTTTTGTATTTTTTTGTGTTTTTATGAGAATTACACTCATTCAGATTGTTTAAACAGTGTACCACTGTGGTAGCAAATATGGATGGTCGAATGCCTTCTACGTGAGAACTGCCCCAGAGGATTCTACAGCTTGGTCACCTCAAATAGTTATCTTCGGTGACATGGGGAATGAGAATGCTCAAAGTTTGTCGAGATTACAGGAAGAGGCACAACGTGGACTATACGATACAGCAATTCATGTTGGGGATTTTGCGTATGACATGAACACAGACAATGCACGTGTTGGTGATGAATTCATGAAGCAAATAGAAGGAGTCGCTGCTTATTTACCTTATATGACAGTACCTGGAAATCATGAAGAACGTTACAATTTTAGTAACTATAGGTCAGAGTATACTCTAATCATATCAGTAACTACAATTCATTCGTATTTCATTATTGGTGATATAATTCTCGTAGGTCTCGTTTTACGATGCCTGGCGATAGCGAAGGTTTATGGTATAGTTTTAACGTAGGACCCGTGCACTTCATTGCCATAGAGACAGAAGCTTATTATTTTATGAACTATGGTATCAAACAAGTGGTTAAACAGTATCAGTGGCTAGAGAAGGATTTAAAAGAAGCCAATAGTCCTGAGAACAGGTAAAACGGAACATCTCTTATTACAATAGAACGTCAAACTAATAAGAATTCAATACAGGGCACAAAGACCCTGGATAGTGACATTCGGTCACAGGCCAATGTACTGCAGTAATGCAAATGCAGACGATTGTACAAATCACCAAACTCTCGTCAGAGTTGGATTGCCATTTTTAAATTGGTTTTCGCTCGAAGACCTCTTTTTTAAATATAAAGTAGATTTATTACTATGGGCTCACGAACACAGTTATGAACGTATGTGGCCCATGTATAATTTTAAGGTAATTTTATTGTTTTTCTAAACCCAAAATCTAGAGTATTTTTCCAATAGATTTAATCGATAGTAAAAAGAAACTAATTATAGGTAGAAAATGGTACTTACGAAGAACCGTATAAGAATTACAAGGCACCTGTACACATAGTAACTGGATCGGCCGGATGCAAGGAGGGTAGAGAAAAGTTCGTCCCGCATAAACCAGAATGGTCTGCATATCGTAGTTCAGATTATGGTTACACAAGGATGAAGGCATACAATCAGACTCATCTATATCTTGAACAGGTACTGGATAGTTCGGACTATTAGGCACAAGGAATATTCGTTATAATTCATTTCAAAATGTTTTGACGGTAGGTGTCTGATGATAAGGATGGTGCTGTATTGGATCAAGTTTGGCTCATAAAGGACGATATTTTCCCGGTGTACAATATAGATAACCTTGCATAGAAAGAATAATAGAGCACAATTTAGGATAAAATAATGGAAATAATGCCATAGACATATCGTTTTAGTTACCATTTTTTCTTGTTCGACAATTGTACCATCCTGTTTTATGGTAAATAGCAAAATTTTATAGCTATAAACTTCAAACAATCGACTTTTAATTCTATCATTAAAAATTCTCCCTGTTCCCTCTCGCATCGAAACGAATAAACTACAAATGTTTGCTAATTGCAAATGAGATGGAAATTAATAATGCGTACGTACAATATAATCCTTTAATTGTTAAAATATAAATATATGTATATATAATCATTGTAGCATATAATATTAATAATATAATATTAGGGTAGCATTTCATATTTCCATCTGATTCTCACAGTAAATCATTAATTATCAATGATACATGATGAAAGCGCGGATTCGTATTAAGGAAAACAAAAATTTCCTAGTTCGATAGTACTAGTCTTATCCGAGAAACGCTTCCTTTCAGTGCTAAAAATCTTGATCTCAGATTTACACAGTAGTTCAATTAAAGCTGTAAATGTTTCTATGCTCCTACTTTTAAAATGGATAAACCACTTACCCCGTGGCTGGCTTCTTGCCAAGTGTACTTTGCTATTTTGGCTTCTGCTATAACAGTTGACTAATGAATTTAAAAAAAAAAAAAAAAAATAACCAGGAACTGCCCTTCTATAAATTATTATAATAATGTTGACAATGAAACTAGAAAGCGTTGACCATCACTTTCGTCGAACAAAGGACTGTTAACTATGATTATCAAATATCGTTCTTCCACATAGAAGGATCGTGCCACTCTTTACAATGTAACACAGCATACGGGATGACCTTCACTTAACTTTCGTTTCTTTTTTTTTCTTTTTAAAAAAAGACAAAACTTTATCCCCGTTATGTCACCGTGAACCTACTCAGCAGGTATAAATGGTATTAGCTCAATCGGATCGTATGGTACACAATTTTTTCATGTACAATTTCAACGTATATGCGTGTAGTTGCACACATGCCGCGCACACACATACACACGCACTAATTTGATCGCCATTAGAGATATGTGTTAAAATTTTCCTCAAAGATCCATAAAAAAAGCATCATAAATCAGCAAAAATGATATTCCAATTAATCTGCATTAAAAAAGAGTTCTTCCGAATTGGCCAACAATACTCATCGCAGTCGAATGTCTTTGTTTGACCTTTCCATGCATTTAGCCACATATCTCAGTATATAAACAAAGAAAACCTTTGATACTGTCAGTGATTAATAGAGACGATGGAAGAGGTTGCTGCTGAGCGGCTTTCCTGATACGAAAACTGGGGAAAATGTTCTTGTTCTTCGGCTATCGAATTCAAACCACCTCCACTACCTAAGAAGCTTTGATCGGGTGGCGTGAGTTCGACACTTTCACCCGTAAACTCGCTATCAAAATATCGGGTATCTGTTTCGGAAGATACTTGAGGTTTGAAGGGAGGAGCAATTTTTTTCTGCACGAGGTCCGACCAATCAATCGATGAAAAGAATGCGTGATCCATAATCTCTTTTGCATCGTTCGGTCCACCTCCCAATCTTTTGCTTGGATCTTTTATAAGTAAGCCTGTAAGGCAAAAGTTTGGACCAATAAATTCATTTAATTTAATAAAATTAATTATCCTATAAATCATCTACTTACCACCAAGCATATCTTTTGCATGGTTAGTGACCGTTCTAGGAAATCTTACTTCTTCCATTACAATAAGCGTGAATAACTTTTCATGGTCCTTGTTATAAAAAGGTAATCGACCACAGATCATTTCATACATAACAACGCCAACTCCCCACCAGTCTACCGCTCGTCCATAATCGTTATCTTCGAGCACTTCTGGCGCCAGATACTCAGGAGTTCCGCAGAATGTTTTCGTCGTTCTCCCTGCACAATCAAAATATTACCAGTGTTTTCCAATATTCTTAAATATAAGAACGCATTTTTTTTGCTCTTTGTATTTTATGCGTTATATCTTACCATACGTTATATCCTCTTTGCATAATCCAAAGTCAGCAATTTTAATATGTCCATCCTTATCTAAGAGAAGGTTCTCTAATTTGAGATCACGGTAAATGATACCCTGTGAATGAAGATAACCCAAAGCTGAAATAATTTCAGCTCCGTAGAATCGTGTACGATCCTCCCCGAATCTGCGGGTACGTTTTAAATGAAAGAACAGCTCTCCGCCGTTTACATATTCCATTACAAAACACAGCCTGTCAGCTGTTTGAAAACTATACTTTAAAGACTGGAAAGTAACCAATATTAGACACGTTAATGAAGATTGTAAGTATACGAGTCGAAAATGGAATAATTTCTACGAAACATACAATTAGGAACGGATGATTAGTGGTACGCAATACCCTATTCTCTGTGAGCGCGTGCGCAACCTCGTGTTTACGAATAATTACTTCCTTTCGTAAAATTTTTATAGCATACAAGTGTCCTGTTGCCTTCTCTCTGCAAAGGATTACTTTTCCAAATGTACCCTTTCCCAAAACTTTTAAAAATTCAAAATTTTCAAGGGTCTGCAATACAAATATTAGACTTAAGAGATCAGGTATTCCCGTAGGAAACATATGATGATTGTATACATACTACTTTCTTCTTCCCTGAACTTTTACTACTAGATGTTCCTTGAACACTAAACTTTGCAGACAATTCATCGATGCTGCCACCATCTGCATCCGAAGACACTACTCCAATGGACCCACCTGAATCTGACCTACCACCTCCTGAGGAATTTCCATCCATTTCAACATCTTCAGACGAAGATGTATGCTGCATTGACGGTGAATGTGGCTGTTGGTCCTTTTCACTCGCTAACCTAGCAGCCACATACCTATTCCGAGAAACAATGCACCAAGAATATTCAATTTTTACAAGCGTTAAACATGAAATAAGAAAAAGTAAGTTGAACCTAATTGCTGCCACCCAATCTTCTCTCTCTTGCTCTGTATCTACATGAAATGTCCTTTCTATAACAGCTGCCCATTGTAAACCTCTTATGACAAAGGTATATGGTTTAGGTCTATCTACAGACATAATCTGACATCCCCGGACTGTAAAATTATTTAAAGGCTGTGCGGCTGTTGCCATTTGTTGATCAGGCTTTGCTTTAAACCCAACCAGTGTACCGTCATCTCGCAAAACAAAGTACCTCGACCTCCAATTCTTTATATGCTCCCCTATACACAAACAACAAAATCTCCAAATAACATCCCTTAGTCATCATAAAAAATAACAAGTCTGATATAAATGAAACGCGAAATTCTTCGGATATTTCAATGCTCGAGTCGTTCCTCGACTAATTACAATATTTATTTCAAGATTTTTTCGAAATTTTTCACGATACAAAAAGATCGAAACAACGAACAACATCGCAGAAACAGTTGTATAAAACTACGATGAATTTTCGACAGAAAAATTCGACAAATCGGTGGTACGAAGACAGAAATACGGTTGCTGAAAATACGACCATTACTCGTGAAATCAGCCGAGACTTTCTAAAATTTTCACGGAAGCATATCGGTCAATGTATTTTTGACATTTTGCTAAACAGAGAATCCAGTCAAGGTTCCGTGGAGGAAGCAACGAAACGGAAAGAAAATCGGTTTCGAGTTCATGTTGCGGGGTTTCGTTTGGAGCGAGGTGAAAGAGTAAACATAAATATTATGAGACTCGTCTATGGTGTACCGCGTTTTTGAAGCCAGCCTTCTTTAACGACACGCTGACCACCGCCACCGGACGCTGCGACGTTCATCGCTGCGTCCCCCATAGCTCCTTTCTCAATGCACGCTCGTATGCAACCTCTTGATACTTCTTGTTTCCGTTCAGACTTAATATCCCAGAGAAATTTGTAAAACACAACAGCGAGGATGGCACGAGTATACAAACTTGAGCAATCATAGATACACGTTTCGCAGGTAAACTCGAATATACTCTGATCGACGGACGCACTAATGCGCACTAACTAGCATTGCCTGCTTGTATTCCGAAGATGGCGCGTCGATCGATCACGACTAAAGAAGAATTCTCATAGAGGAATGTCCAGCGACGAGCAAAATAGTTGCCCACATCCCTTTGACAACCCGAAGTTTACCATGTGAAGTGAAAGATCTATCTTATGTGTCTGACATTCGATGGTTATACAAGGTGTACCACGATAAACACTTATTCAAATTGAGTCTGAGAATCAGGAAACAATCGGGGACTCCCACTGTCGTCTGGGTCATCTTGAAAATTTGTCTGATTTATTGTAAGTAGACTGTAACATATATTAAAACAGTAACTTTAACAAAGTTCTGAAGTGTAAGATTTATATAAATATACAATTATTATGAAAAGTATACCATAAGATTATACTATAGTGTCCTATGTTTCCGAAAGAGTCTTTTGTATCAACTTAACGATTTCGATATTATTGTACGCCATGGCCATCTGCATTGGGGTAAGACCGGCTCGGGTTTTCCGGCTTAAGTCGGCTCCTTTCTCAATAAGATAACTGTTTAATTTAATAAAAACTGTTAAAATTCAATTCGTAAGTGATATATAAATATTTCCTACGGTTTGCAACTAACACAGCCAGTAACAAATTCCCCGTCATAGCAGCTATGTGCATCGGCGTACGCAGACCGATAAAGTCTGTTGTATTTACGTCTGTTTCGTTTCGAAACAAAAGATCGAATACACTCATGTCCGATATGGTGTGTATAGATAAAATACTTTCAAGAAGTAATCCCAAAGAATACTGACCGGACGAAGACGAAACTGTTGCTCTGAAACAAAAGATTTTGAACCGTTGCATCGAGTGCTTCAGAAGTGTGTAAATTAACTCGCTCACCCGTAAAACAATAATAACTTAATCATAGGAAAATAAGGTCTCCGTATAACGCTGGTGTACAGTGGGCTTTCATGAAAGACATCGTAACCATTTACATTTGCGTTCTTTCTTAACAATAGAATAGCACTGCTTACGTCCTTTCGAAGCGCGGCGTAGTGCAGTGGATATCGGCCCAAAGTGTCCCTGCAGTTAACAGACGCACCATTTTCGAGCAGTTTCTTAAGCGCCTCTTTATGCCCAAGAAAAGTAGCCACGTGAAGTGGCGTTAAACCTGCGTGGAACTGAGACTTTCAGAATACTTTTGAGATATACAATACAGTTCCTACACCGCTTCAATTATTTGTGTAATGAACTTGAGTTATTACATTCAGTTTTATAATACGTGACAGTACATATGGCAGCATCTACTGTACATACGGCGAAACCATCAAGCTACTAGCCAATTAGTACCACTTTCTTGATCCTAAATGGCGCCACAGTATTCTTTACTCGCGTTTTTTCCATTCAAAAATTAAATAATTATTCTGAAACGTAGCAGGAAACAATTGTTATTCAATAATATCGGTACAGTATGCTTCAAGGAACAATTTGATACTGACAAAATTCCATTTAAATTTTGGTCACGAAAGGGCGGCTGAACAATAAGTTCACCACCATCTGGCGCCGAGGAAATGGTACTAACTGGCCAGTAGCTTGGGCGTTTTGCCGTTGATGTCGCCACTATCAGTTTTTTTTTAATTATTTCCCAATAATACAAAAGAAATAAGAATATTTTAATTTTAATAATATCGTGCCTACTTAAAGGAATTTACCGTGCATTGTCGTTGACTCGATGTCCAGGGAAGGCTGACTACAAAGAAGTTGAATCATAGTCACGTCATTGTGTTCAACCGCGATATGGATAGGTGTTAAAAAATCGGTTGTTCTGCAATTGACGTTAGCGCCCTGGGTATAATTGTACTAGAATATATTAATAATCGAAATAACACTATAATATCGTAATTTTAATTGATTAACATTCGTGCCTCGGAGATCGCTTCCCTTGCTATAGGTACATGCCGAACAGTGCAAGCCTGCAGCAATTTCCAATTAACATTGACGGTTTTACTCTCCGGCCATATGACTGGATCGACGATTACAACATGTTGTTTCGGTCGTTTTGGCATTTCGATAAACATAAACACAACAAATTAATCGGTATAACTTTTCCTCAAAATCATAACTAACAGGAGAAATTATACTGGAGAATTTCGATCGGAAGGAAGAAAGTGGTTAATTGCACGACAATTTTTTTCGTTCTTTGTTTCTAAATAACAAACGTGAAGTGGTTCGATTTGCATACCATATATTTAATATTTAGAGGAGAATAATATCGTTACAGGAAGGAATATTTCTAAGTAGAATATATAGGTATTTATTATAATAGTTATTATTTCCTTTCATGTCGTTACAATATTATATATCGTTCGATCAAAAGCACCATGGGTTTTGAAAAATATTTACGGCGCCGAGCGACACAACTTATTCAATTATCTTCGATTTATTTATTTATTATTTTTTTTTTTAATTTTCTTAAGTTTTCGTTCTTTTCCTTTTTTGATTTTGAGACGCACACGTGTATAGTAGTCGAACGTTTACACGATATTTATTATAATACGCACACATAGAACCGTTCTAAGGTAAAATAGTCGACAGTTGGTTACTTTTTCTTGTTCTTTGTTTAAACATGCTCAGAGTAGCTTATTATTGTTGAAAATGTTCGTTTTCCGTGAATGAACCGTTACGTGCTGCCTACTAGTTTGATCGGACCAATTGTTTGGTTATCCAATATCTTTCGCCCGAGAATACTCGGATCCTCCACGGAACTTTGGATATTACAGTTCCTAATGACAGAATATACATATATTCTTTCCTTAAATTAGTATAACAAGAAATGTGTTAGCAAACGTCGAGTCCATGAAATTAGAACGGCGTCGATTTTTCTCCTTCTGTCCAACGATAGAATTCGAGTACATGCGATTTAAAACAGTCGGGAGAGCGGTATCGTACAAGAAGAGCGTTTAAAAACGATTATCACCTGGATAAAGCACCACAGCAATTGACTAGGATCCTTTCTTTTTTCCTCAGATTCTCGTCTGCCGCGCGAAATATTGTTCCAAATCCAGCGATAAAAATAACAGATCCGAAACATTGGATCTGTATGGTTAACAAGCTTAACGATTTCATTCGAGAGCAGCGATCGCGTTGCAAAAGTTATCAGGTTTTTCTTTTTTTTTTTTTTTTTTTTTTTTTTTACGTTAGGATCGCATGATCGAAAGACGTTTCGCAGTCTTCAACGAGCCTGACTCGATAGCATTTGAACAAGAAAAGCTGCGTACCGATACTCGAAGACGATTTAATTGTTAAGAAAACTAGCTGTCAATGCTTCGTCAGTGAAACGTAAACTCGATCGATTGATATCCGTTTAATTGTACAATCATTAATACTTCTCATCGTCTATGAGTAACATTAATTACATATATATATATGTATAGTATAATAAATACTGAATTACTCTTCACCGTCTCAATAATACTTATAGTCTAGAAGTAAATCTAGTTACACGCTAAACGATCGTCAAAAATATATATAGCGTTAAGTCACAAAAGGTTTTTTTTTTCTTCCTTTTCCTTTTCGCCGATCGTTCCCCGGATAGATCGATCAGTCGTCTCGGATCTCTTTTGTTCTTTTTTTTTCCCTTCTTTTTTCGTAACGCGTTTTTTTCTTCGCTTTTCTTTTCTTTTCCCTTTTTTTTTGGGTGTATTTTTCGTTTGTTCGTTAAACCTCCTCCACTGTTACAAAGAATCAGACGTTTCAAGCATACCGATCGGACGACGAGAAACAGAAAGAACTAAACTTATTTTCAGTCTCCTCGGAATGTTTGCTGCACATGGAAGGCCGTGTTCGGTGTCGATCGAGAAAAAAAAATCGTCGGATGTGTTGTATTTTTTTTTTAAGGCGCGAAGCACGCTCGCGTAATACGAGCCTCGTATGTACGTTTATATGTATGGACCAAGCGATTAATAGGTCATTATTTATCATAGTAAATGTTATTTGATTTATTAAATTGATCAGACATTACGTATAATGCTACATTCCTTTTTTTGGGCAATTTGATTTTAAACTCTCGATTACTTTGTAAATAAAATAACTGTCGTTAAAAAAGTCCGAATGACTTTTTCCTTAAACTGTCTCCAACCAACTCCGATCAATTTAATACTTCAGAATTGTTTAGAGATAGTTGGAGAAAAAATAATTAATTCAGAGGTGGTTAGAGATAGATAATTCGTGTGGCTGATAAATATTATTATCAGTATATTCTCTGTTTTCCTTATTTTCAAAGCATTATACTGATTGGAGTCGATTAAAGATCGTCCAATAAAGAAAGTAAATCAAAGACAGTTCAAAAAAAAAGTGCCCGATTTTGCTTGCAGATATTCAAAATGGCCGGTCATTACGAATAATGCTCGTATTAGTCGCTCGGTCCGTAACATATATACCTCCTCTGGTGTACTCGATTTAATAATGGTAGACGATGGATTATCGGTAATAGGTATTTCACACTGTATACTCTCGATTCCCGGGTGAAACGGCTCGGGCCCGCACGAGCCCTCTGACTCCGGCGCCATTTTGGTGCGCACTCGTAAATATACAATTTCATTAAAACAGTCGAATGCATCACAACTGGACGAAAATTCTTCGTATTCCCATATTTGTTTCCTAATTATCATGGAAATTTAATTCACGTCGTGATAATTCATAAACATTAGTTGGAACACTATCTTCTTAGTCCTCGTAATACTGATAGTTTAGGCAACAAATGAAGACGTTTGAATCAAGCCGAACCCGTAGAATTAGGCCTAATGTATAAACGTTTCAAAATGAAATATTTATTCATCAGGACTACTGGATTTGGACTACTTTCGATTTATCTCGAGGGGTTTTTCTATCAATAGGATAAATACTAATTTTTTTTCTCGAGTTAAAAACAGATACGCTAGACATCTACGACCGTGTTCGATCTGACCCACGCGTTGATTCGACGGAGGTTAAGAAAACAGTGTGTCCAAGTGATGTACAGACTCTTCTTGATTATTGTCCCGAACTCGAGTCCGCGCCAAGACAATAATCTTATAGGGAGAAATGTACGCAACAAAGTATGCGCTTGACAGGTTTCACGTCCCCTCCCTCCCGTAGTGAGAGTAAAGCTTGAACAATAATCGTGTAGAACAAGCCAGACAATAATCGAGAGGAGTCTGTATATCCGTTAACAGGTCGCCTCGCCGTTTCAGATTAACATCGAGTCACGGGACATCGAGCATTCAGGCCAGAATATCAACTTGAAAAAACGTGAACATCATTGATAGATATGCATTAAAACACTCATCGAATAATCAGTTTCGACGAAGAATCCTCAGCCAGAGTAACTAGCGTATATGTGAATGCATGTGTATCATAGTTTCGTACCACGGCTAGGAAATTAATTGACGATTATATATATGTATATATATATATGTCGTTAGCGTTTTCAACACACCGAAGTTACTTTGGAGTAAAACGGCTATTTTCAGTACTCGATATACAACAATTCATCGTTCTATCCAATTTCGTTTCGTTCGTTTCTTCTCTCGTCGAGGAAAAAGTAACGCGGACAGCAAGATGGAACGAGAACAAGCTCGATCCCTCGGTCAGTTTCGCGTCGACAAATCTTTCAGACCACAACAGATATACTTATAATATTTGTATCGTAACGTAATCGACAAATAGTCTAGCAAAAATTACATCTTTTCAGCCCGGGCCGTCTAAATTCGCGTATTCTAAGATCACCTTGCTAACTTCCTTCTGTCGTCCCTGACAAGATAATACATCGAGATGGCGTGAACTGTTACACACTTGTAAATCACGATTTTTCATAATCGTTTCCGATTGGGTGGAGATCATAACCACAAAATATTAACGTAATTCATTTTCAAATCATATTGAATATTTATTTATTTTTTTGAAACATCAAGGAATTACGATCACAGCCCAGATAGCACATAACGCCTTGAAGACGTCCATTTCACGGTTATTTTAGGTCTAAGGCGTCTTTAAGCCGCCTTCAAGGCGTCATTGAGCGTCATGTGCTATCTGGGAGTGAGCAAATTCACTGAAGGTAAACAAAAATCACGATCACGGTCGTCAATGAAGTTAAATCACCATCATGATCGTGATTCTGTGATCACTGTGATCTTGCACACCATCCCTAACAATACATTCGATCATCCACCGTTTCTAACATCATTCCTCGTCCCCCTCCACCCTCCTTACGTTCCCTCCGATTCTATCAAGGTCGCGGTCTACCGGATGGAATTTCTATGTCTACGCCGTTCGAGCTACAATTTTTTGGAAAAGACTATACATCATCCCGTGCCTCGTCTTTTCTTTCACATCAGTCGGAGAAGTCGTGAAATCAAGCGCCTGAGGGGTTCGATTCGAGCACTACGATTGTTTAAACGATTTCAGTCGTGGCGTGAACGCCATGGTTCGCCTGGATCCGCGACGTTGCACGCGCGAAGAGCTTAAAAAACTGGCGGCACTTCGCCCCGTTTTCAAACGGAAGGATGTACAAGAGCGCGCTGAAGCGTGGACTAACAATCCGTCGATTATCGTCCAACCAGACCGTAAAACGAAACGATTTAGGCTTCGAGATTGATAAACGCACGAAAACACTTGATACAGTTGGCGGTAAACGAGACCAATGAATGAACAGTTAAGAGATCTTGTGACTATTAAAGACGAATTTTAAACGAAAAGAACATTTGTCAAAAGAACAACAATCGTCTCTTCAGCGTGCTCTTGTCAGCGAGAAGTCTTTCTGAGCACCGTGTTTCCCTTAAATTAAGAAGTAGTCTTTCTTTCCCGCCTCACGAACAAGCTCGGCTTTCGCTAGGGGAAAAAGTGATGTAACATTTATTTCAGTACCTGGAATAAATTTACTAAGTGGTAGAAGACTTCTTCTACGCCACTTTTTCCCCTAGTGGAAGCCCAGTTGACTCCTGGGTGTACATACATATATTGCTGTATCACACAACAAAGGACAGAATATAGTTAAATAAAGGGGGTGGGAAATGGGGGCGCGTTCCTCGAAATGACCACCGCGGTGTGTAGCTGTTCCTTGCGTATACATGAGTCCGAAAATTAGCCGGTTCGTTACTCCCCCTCTTTTTCGGTTCGGATCGTGTGATTCTTGTTGGGCTCTCTCGCTTCCCCCGAATACGTTCCAGATAATCTCTCAATGTAACATTCGCTGCTTTATCCTTCGTTTTTTTTTCCGTTTCTTTCGTTACACGTTCGGGTTTGTTAGTCGAGAGCTGAAGACTTAATAGACTAGACGGTGCTGGTAGGGGAATCCCCGGGACTGGGAGCTCATTTGGTACTGTGTCGCACTGGAGTAAGGATCGTACGTCTGCAACACGAACAAATTTCAACCTTTACACACCTCGACGAACAACATCGATTCCGGATTAGATCAAGAATCTATCCGGAATAGGATATGGATTTGTTTGTACGAAGAACTTAATTTACTAATTTTTATATAGATAATGTTCGTTTACTGGTACGTGTTCATTTACTGGTGCATCCACCCACGCAGAGATTAATGGAAACGAGACTTCAGAGTACATACGCAACCGGTTACGAGTATCCAAGATGGCGTCGCTCGAGCGATTCGAAAGATCAGTCGATTACCACCTCGGAAAGGAAATCTTTCGTACAACTTCCTTCTTTTACTTTATTCTAATATATTTTATGATCCTCGTGTTTCTCAGTATATATATATATGAATAAACTTTATTGTTTTTTATTTTTTTCTCAGAACTACACCGTAGACTGTCTCACCTGCGAACGTTTTCTGGAAACCATAAACCTCTTTTCCGGAGCGTTATAATACGTTTGCTGAGGATAAGCAAGACCGTACTGGGGACTGCCGTATTGTGATGTTCCGTCGTATTGTTGACCGTACTGGTTCCCGTACTGCTCGTAATAGCTCGTCGGATGGGTACGGACGATCCCGATATCGGACGGGTACAGAGAATCGACGCTGTAGTGACGGGGAGGGTACACCGGGCTGTCCATCCACGGGATCACTGAACAAAATCGTGGAAATCAGTCACGTTATTCGTTGATGAGCTCGATTGTCGCCTCAAAACTGATTGCACCGTTTCTCATTCGTGTGCGATCTGTAGACTACGGAGTTTTATGCAAAATCACGATTTAAAAGGTTCTTGATAAAGACAAAAACAAAAGTGGGAATTTATTGCATGGCAGTATTACACCTGCAACAATCGGGCCATTGACCCTATTTAGCATATTGCTGTGAAATATCGAACGTACCATTTCGTGGATCGTCGTCCTCAAGGAGATTACCATCGTCATCCACGTTATCGTATTCCTCGTTCACGTACTTGTGCCAGTTTCTGTGCAAACAAACGAAAACAAAAAACACACGATAAAATCGTTTGGATTCCGAGAACGATCACGTTGTTCATAATTAACGATAACGAGTATAAATTTTTACCGGTTGCGACGCTCGTTCTCCCACAGGGACAGAAGGGTCAACACGTCCTCCGGATCAATATCCAATTCCCTCTTGAATCGCGGTTCTTGGTAAATCGATACGCTGAAAATTTCCATTTCCCATGATTCACAAACATTCGTCGATTTTCGGCGCAAATTTTTTTTCCATAGAAACGTCTTTTCCATAAAATCGAGAGGCTTATGGGAAACGGTGGAAAAGTGCCAACAATGACGTCCATTTTAAAGCAGACGCAAATAATCAACCGCATATTTTCAAATATTAGAAAAACATTAGAAATGATCGTACGGGTGGTGTCAAGGACTATTAGAGTAGAATAAAACTCCATACACGGTGAAATACAGGACGAATCGAGAAACGGTTCCGGTCATTCGAGCTGTGTCCGTTTGATTCACGCCTGGAAAACGGTATCGGTTTTCGATTCGGTGGAAAACGGACGCTCGTGTTCGACCCAATTCGAGCATCAAACGCATCCAGCCGCAAAGTACATTTTGAATGGCGGAGATAAAGAGAAGTTAGGTGAGAGGGGAGGACAAAAAAACGATCCTTAAGCTGCGTCTACACTATATAATATAACACGTTATATAGCAAAGTTGTAAAACTTGTTAAAAAAATACAGAAAGAAATGTTATAAAACATGATGTTACATAACATTTTTTGTGTTATATATAGAAAGTTATATGTCATCTATCAAGTGTGACACATCGTTATTAATAACCAGATGCGAAATGTTGTACAAACTTGTCGAAAGGTATAATTTTGCAACAAGTTATAAAAACATGTTACACAGCACAGTTATATAACAATTCGTTAGATAACACTATTTTGGTACACAGTGTAGACGCAGCTTTAGAACGGCAATAACGCCGGGATCGCACGCGTTTGCGCCGACGAAAAACGGGGGTAGGGATATATTGTCCTAGGTCAGGCCCGTGGAGCATGCCTGGTGCATGCTATGTCGCGGATGATCGATATGACGGCACCCCCGGCGGCTAATGCCATCAGCTGATTGGTTGGTCATATGCCAAAACAGAGTCTGACTCGTCAGGTGGTTTTCATTCAAGCTTTTGCACACGACTTTACCAATACAGGTTCGTGTGCTCCGTCTGGCAATTCAGGCGAAAAAGGAAATTGGACAAATGGTCGAAACACGGAAACGATTTCAAATCGATAACGATCTTCGAGATAATATTTATTCTGCAGGAAGAGTGTCGAGAAATTCAAAAAACATTAATAAATAGATGACGATTATTCACATATGTTTTCTAACAAATTGTCATTCCCGATTTCGTGTACAAAACGGATGCTGTTCGAATCTTTGGTTTACATTCGAAAGTGAGGTTAGGTCACATATCGTTATACAAACAGGACTGAAACCGTACTTGCAGGAATATGTACTTATGACGTTTTATTTGTTCAAATGGTCCAGATAGAGAGACTAGAAAAACGTGAGGAACACGTTTTTCTCTGTCGAACTGGTGCCCACTGATTTTCCGAAGTGGAGGCGTTTCCCGATAACAATGCTCTGGTGTGTCCCGCACGTGAACTGAATAGAAAGGCACGACTCGACTGCAACTCGTCTCCCGTTGAATTATCATAGATCTTCCGGAAGCTCACGGACGGTTAACTGGGTGGGCTATTCTTGTCAGCTGATTGGCTGGCGATATGTCAAGCGATAGTCGGGGGGCCTGACCTACTTTAGCTCGGCTGGCTCCATTCAGCTTTTCGTGGACCCACCCCTTGGAAATCTACCCTATTGCGTCACGAGTATCGAACGAGTCCCGATTACTGCACCGACGTGTCCACACATACACAGAATGCGTCCCCATGGCTTTACCACGATAATTTCCCGAGGAGCCTGAATAATTTACAGGGCATAGATCAAATTGCGAAATTGGTCTCGGTTCTCTTTTTCCTCCATTTTGTTTGATTCTTTTTCCCATTCCCGCCCCCTCCGTGTCCTCTAGAAGTCAAACTGGATCGATCCAGAGCGATAGCAAAAATTCTGTCTGAGATCGTGTGCAATGCTCGACGTAAGTGATTACACTAGAATTATAATGAAATAGAAGTAGGAACATTTGTTTTACGAAGGACCGTTTTATTCGTAATATACGTGGCGAAAATTCCAAAAATGTTTCTGTAGTAGAAACTATAGTCTATTTTTACCCAGATAGCACATGACGCATTGGAGACGGCTTGAAGGTACCTTAGACCTAAAATAGCCGTAAATTAGGTACATGTATATGTCTATGATCGAAACGACAGGGTGGCGTTTTTTTCTTTTTTTTTTTTTTCAATCTAAAGATATTTATTTTTATTATTGAAATCACGTCGTCCTTCACTTTTTGATCGACACCATCGGCCCATTACCGGCTTCGTTATTCCAGTCGCCGATCTCGCGCGTTTTAATTAATACCGTCGCGGTTATAATTAATATTCCAGGAAGCTAGTTAGCGACGCGTTTTCCATAGTTCCGAGGACTTTCGAACTAATTAAGATGGGTTAACTGGAATTTAAACGAGATGCTTCCGACTGCAGATTGCAAATCTACCCCGTTTCTCTCGGCATTAAGAAAATGGAACGACAAAGAGAGACGGAGCTCAACTAATATAAACAAATTAAAGAACTGTACGTAGGAAAAAGTTAAACTCCAATCGACTGCTTTGGCAACCAGAACGTGATCGGCTCTATTAATCGTCGGTTCCTGAAACTCTTTTCATCCAACGCACACCAGTGGTGCAAAATCCCCAAAACGTGACGAAAATTTCAAAAATATTTCTGTGGTAGAAACTGTAATATTTTGTGATTTTTCATATAAAATAAAGTGGAAAAAATTAATTAATGGGGAAAGGATAAACAATTTAAAAAAAAAACTATTTTTTGAATAGATTACATTATTTTATGATTATTACATTATTAGATTCTTTTTTTAAATTTTCTAAAATGTCCTTTCCACAAGTAACGAATTCTCGCCACGTTTTCGGGATTTTTCAGGCACGTTATAGCTAAAGCGCGCTACAAGTGGAACACATACAAGGAATTGTATTCCTCGAAGGAAAGTTCTTTCCTTCCGCTACTGTTACCCTCCCCAGCCATTATTCTTTGCGCCGTGAGAATTAGCCTTGTTCAGGAACGCTACGGTGGCAAGCCGCGTCTCTCCCTGTATGTGTGCAATGGGGGATGACCTGTGACATTTATTTACAGGTCAGCCAACGCACACACACAGGCTTCCCAGCGAGCGCTTACACGTCGTAAAAATAAAAGATTGACGTAAGGAGCCACCACACTACCGGTTCGCTGGAAAATAATTAATTCACCGGCTGACGTTACCGCCCGCGGGAACTTCGTCGTGCACACGTCATCTTAATTAACGACGACAATTTTCCTCTGTCCACTCACACACGTACACGCTGAAAATACTGTTCGAAATATCGACTTCCGATATGAAGAATCGAGAAGGGTGTTTTCATGTTTAACAGCATGTGTGCGGGCTTTCAGGTTCCGTGTGATTCCCGTGAGGACCAACCCTACGACGGACCAACGGGGGGTCGTTCGTGACCCACCGCCTTCAGACTACGTCCATGGTAGAACCTGTACACGACTCGAGAAACGAAATATTTTAGAAATACGAAAAACCTGCTCGAACGAAAATTCGTTTCGATGTAAATAATCCTCGACATTGTCTGTACATGGAAACACGCCATGTTGTGTGCTGTTCGAATCGGTTACGTAATTCCGCAGAGAACTGTTATTAAAGTACAAGGTAAAATTCCTGTACAGGGTAGATGTTCCTATTAATGCCACCTTAAGATTGTAGCGTAAATTTATTTAATCATTTTTTGTGTTGTTTTACCTAAAAATCGTCTCGGTTTAGATCATAATATTATTTAATTGACGTCTCTGACATTTGTAAAATGAAAATTCGATTTTTTATAATCTACCAATGGTAAACGTTCCTTTAATGGTGCATCCATGCTATACTTTCGTTTTTCCCCTAAAATATTCCAAAACGCATTAATATTACGAATATGTTTTTTGTTTTACCGAAATTTTCCTTTAAATAACGAATGCAAATTTTTCTCCTTAAACACGAGTATATTCATCAGTGGACAAAAAAAAGTGCCATTTTCCCCTTAAACACGAGTATACTCGTTATTGGACAAAAAAATGTCATCTTTTCGTCACGAGTATACTCGACATAAGGATCGAAAGGGTTAATTGATCATCGTCCAGGTGTGAATGACGAGTAGAGCACGGGTACACACATTATCGTCTGATGATCAACACACACACACACGCACACACCGATAACGACAGCCTCTCCAAGTCGTATTGAACGACTTGGTCGTCAAGTCGACCGCCGTTTCTGCCCCCCTCCCCACCCTCGAGGGCAACGCCCTCGCCAGAGCCCTCTCTCATCCCCATTCAGAAGAAACGTCGAAGAAAAAAAGGAGAGGGATCATGTCCCACCCGAGCAGGAGAGACCTGGAAGGGTGAGCTCTGCTCGCCAGGGGGTGGAAAATTATGGGGGTGGGTTATCCACCCGTGTGTCGATTCACCCCCTGCTTTCCCAACCTCCCCTGATATTTTCCACAGGTGAATTCGCCCCAATACACAAACACCCACGACGCACTTGACTGTTTTTTGCAATAACACGGTTAAATTCTACGAACCTGCTATCTTTGTCATTTGTAAAAGTGACGCTGCGATCGAGAGATCAGTAGGAAATGTTGTATATATATATATATTTTTTTTTTTACTTTCGATTCTCGGGGATATATAGAGAGGGGTGTACGGATTACAGAATGGAATTTCATTTAACAGAACGAATTTTCGTTTCGAGGATGTACTCCTGATGGAAGAGCTATTTAACGTGATCGTGAAATTGCACTGGGAGCTAATGTGTACTTATGGTTGCAGTTCTTGTTACTGTGAAAAGTCTTGGGTTCTGATTCAAGGGTCGTACGAATTGTTTAAACGATATTTCAGTCTCAATATATCACTGATGACACTTGCATTTCCACCGAGTGGACGATAGAGTACAGAGATATAGAGATCTTTGGATTATAGGGGGTGGACCACGAAACGTCGATCAGCTTAGATTATTCTACTGCCATAAATAGAACTATTTTTGTAAGATATCTTTAAGCCGTCTTTAAGGCGTCATCTGCTATCTGAGAAGTCGAATAATTTTCTGATCACACGTTTCGTGGCCCAGCGTGTATATATTGACTTACCTTCTCTTCACCTGGGCCTGGTTCGGCTGCTGCGTGGACGTCGGCGACTGATAGGACGTGGTCGCCGGTTTCGCTGTGGTTGTCCCGGTGATCGTGGATTTCTCGGATCTCTTACGACGATCCTCGGTCAGGTAGTAACGCGAGTACCGGGGATCCTCCCACATCTTCGACACTTCGTCGCCCAGCTCGTTCACCAGAACCTTTCCGTAACTGCAACAAAACGATTTCCAATACTCTTAACCTATAATTATCACACACCGGTCAGAGACGAGCAAATTCATTATTTACATAAAAAGTTTCGAATAAAAGATAAAGAAAAGAAAGTATATCGCAGATTTTAAATCGATTAAACGTGGAAATTACAATTACTATAGTAAAATAATATTTCTTCTTGAATCTTGGCAAGCAACCATTTAGCCTCGTTTGATCAATTCTATTTAAATTTGAAAAATTGGTTTTCGATTCTCTTATGTTAGATAGCCATCCATAGCAAATAAAACTGATATCAATGCGCCTTGAAAATGGCTTAAAGGTGCCTTAGGCTTAAAATAACCGTAAAATGGGCGTCTTTAAGGCGTAATCTGTTATCTAGGACCATTAATGCTCGGAAGAAGAAGCACATGTAAGGTGGTGTTTCTAGCGATTGTTTAAATACCTACTCGTAATTCTTATCGTAAGGGGAGAAGGAATCACGGTCGTACAGGTTGTTGGTAGGCGTTTTCGAGCGAGTCTGCTCCTCCTCCGCTAGAGCCACCTTCAAGCCGCCTAATCCTGACGAGGACAGGGTTCCTGTGTAAAAATACGGAACAATAGTTTATGACATATACGAACTGAAATTATAGATTAATCGAATATTAACAACGATTCACGTTAACGAGAGTGATTGATCTATACTTTTAATCCGCGCAGGAATCGAGACTTTATTATATTTGGATAATTTATCAACATAGCAAGTAAAGAATCTATATCACGGTTATCCGAACGTCTAATTACTTTTTGTATTTAAATTTTGTTCCTTACTCTTATCCGTATTGGACGTGTAAGATGTCCCAGTGTTGCTTTCCGCTTGATGGTTCTGCTGGTTACCAAACATCAGCATCTCCTGCGATCGTTTAGCTGAAAAACCATACGCACGTGTTATTAATGCACCATAAATCGAAAACGTGGAAACCGAAGAATACAATAAATCCTCGATGAGTGTGCGAGCGCATTGAACATTAAATATTTCATAAACTAATGACCGTACGTGGTTGAAACAAAGATCATTGGCTTCAGAATTCCAAGGTCTATCCACTGTGCTAAACCTCATTAAAACTACACCTGGAAACATCTCCTTGTCAGTGCCTATAAGAGCCTTCGAACACTCATCGAGGATTTATTGTTACTCTTTTGACACTTACCTTTTGGTCTCATGGTTTGTTCAGTCTTTTTCACCTCCTGCGCCAGATTCGTTGGCAGAGACTCAACCGCCAGGACGATCGAGCACAGACTCAGCAATCCCACCCACGCGACCATCTGAAATCCATGAATGTTCACCATTTGAACTGAAACTCGATGATTCGTGGAATGAAAAATCGTTTGTTTTTCTTTCGATTTTTCCTTTTTTTTCGTCAGAATTTAAGGATCGATATATCAACCGAGTTTCGTGTGATTTTTCTATTTTTTTTTTTTATCTAGATTAAGCACGTCGTTAGTGTAAAGTGTTCCCCCGTCGCGGTTGTACAGGTCGAAGTGTACGTTGCCCGCGATCGCGGGAAAACGAAGATAGCAGGTCACTACGAAAGAAGCTTAAATGTCACATAATGCGAAATGTCAGGCATCTATTTCCATTGCACGTGAAAAATTAACGGGCATACCGTGTTGCCGCCGCTATAAGAGCCTCGCGAATTCTTCTCGTATGGTTTCGCGAAAATTTCGAATCAGAACACCGGCGCAGAAACGAGGGAATATATAATTAATCGAAGTAATCGCGTTTTGTGGTCGACAATGTCACGGGAAATCGACTTTCTATCTGTTTTACACTCGAAGAAGAACAACCTGAAGCTTCATGAAAGATTGATCACTCGGGTTTACAATAGAAAAAATTATTTGAACTTATGGAATCAATTTTTCAAGGATGACAATTTTTAATTACAACATAGTGGGCTTTATTAATCCTTTTAGTACCTTATAAGTTTTTCGTATGTTTAACGTATGTTTCACTATATAAAATTATTTTTTAAAGTCTTATTAAATGTGTAGAAATTATTTAATTTTATTAACGGCTTCCATATCCGGTCTTAAATCCGAAATATCAGTTTAGTGGGGTTGAGTTAGACGAAACTCAAGGAATATTACTGCGTGTCAATTGAATTTCCGGAAGTGGAGGAACGCAAGACACGCCTCCAGTTGCAATCAGCAATTCCAATAATTTAATTACACCTCGACGGATTCGCGGGATTAGTTTACGCTCGAGCTGCGCACGGATTTCGGGTAATTAGACGAGCAATTAACCGAGCTCCGAAACGGAATCGGGTGGTGGACATAATCGGCCGCTTCCGGATGGCTATTTTATCGGTTGCGAAATGTCAGAGTTTAAAGGAACGGCGCAGCTACGGTCGAAAGAACGAAATCCAATTAGAATTGATTGTTAATAACGCAAGTGGATCGGGACCTAAATGCCTTTGAATTTATACAACAATGGATTTTCTTGAAACTTCCAAATCAGATATTTTATATTACGCATAAAGAAATGCAGATCAAACGATACGGAAAACAGATTGCTTTCATTAAGTTGCGAAAGGATGAAACGTTATTGGAAATCTACAGAATATTAATATATAATTAATGAAATAAATTTTCCATTCGAATTTTTGAATTAGTCCATTAAAACATACATTCCCATAAATTCCCGGAATGTAATAAAAAAGACCTCTGCTTTCGAAGCTTAAATATAGAAAATACTTCATACATTAATTTACATACTCCCGAAGTAACAATCAAGTATACAAATTGTTATGTAATTCCTAGTTATGTATCCTTATAATTTTCAGTTCCATCATTCTTCTCTAATAAACCTTTCATATACGTTCGAAGTAAAATTTCCAATTTCGTAATTTAGTGAAACAAATGCAACGGTCTTCTGTGAAGAAATTTTCGCAAGCCACTGTACGAGGGCAAAAAGAGTTAATGTGAAAAATTAATTTAGATAATGCAAATAATGGTACAGCAACAATGTTAATACATTTAAGGAAAAAGTATCAAAACAACAGGACTAAAATAAAGTATAACAAAAAAGCACTTGAATATCTTTGCGCGTAAACGGGCGGGGTCGCAGGAATAACAACAACTTTCCAGGCTGTAAGCAAGCAACCATTCATCGATCGAGATCACCGTGAAGATCCCTCGAAGATTGAGGAAGTGATTAAAGATAAAAGACGATTGTAAAAAGTTCTGAACGGATTAAATGAACTTGGGTGAAGGGGGACGTAGGAACGAGAACCGAGGCAAGGGAGAAACGAAGCAAAACCAGAGTATAGCAGACCCAGAAATCGCACACTTGTTGCGTCCAGAAATACTATAGTCATTTGTCGCGTTTACGTACCCCGTCTATGCGACACTCGGCCCAATTAAAGATGCATTTCATTGACCGTGCATTCCATTGACAACTCGACATCCGTTCGATAAAAATCTCAGACCCGCCATAATGGTCCAGAATCAAAATGCACGCAGTTCATACTTTTATTTAGTTCGAGAACAAAAATGTTTCGAGATTTATAAATTTCATTCGAATAGAAGCAGGTAGATGAATGAATTTTTATCAATTTCAGCAAGTTATCATTCGCTAACAGTTTGTTCGCAACATCTTTATGAAAGTCTCAAGTTTCAGGGAAGTTTTTTTTCCGTTTTTGACGGAAACCTCCAACCTTCCATTTTTTATGACACGAAATGACTCGAGGAGAACAATAACGGGTGTAACAAATCTTCCACAGTTAATAATAAGTGAACGTAAGTTCTCTGGAAGATAAAAGAAATTTGTTTTGGACCATTCAAACTGCTAAATTCTGGACCACTATGCCCCCGATTTCTCTCAAGACACAAACTATCCACCAAGAACATAATAGCAATCCTCGAATCATTTCGCAAACACGCATGAAACGAAACTTCCCTCTCGAAGACCGATCATCGTGATTCCCAGCTCTCTTTCTCTCATTAAAATATTATCACGACACCGAATCTACCCTCTATTCCGGGCCTTCTATTAATAACCGAACAATTTCACCCCCGGTCGGCTTTATCTCACGGAAACTCGACCAATTAGATCGACCGAGAGATCGCCCCTTTCAAATGTTTCTGGCCCAAAATTAAGGTAACATATACATCACCAGCAAAAAATAACAAAAATAAATAAATAAATAAATATAGTAGTACCTTTCTCTATTCTTCTAAAGCTTCAACTAGTCACTCGTCTCTCCCTCTCTATCAGCGGTTCTTCCCCGTATCGCGTGAACTCTCCTCCAGAAGGATGGATGCGGAGGACCGTTGGTGCTCGGCTGATCGAGGCAGAATGAACGTCGGGGCTCGGCGGGACGACTAGAAAACCGGCTGAGGGTGTACGGTCGATCAACCACCCCCCACCGTCTGGCTGAACGAGCCACCCCTCCCCCACCCCCGTATCACCATCGTCATACAGTGTAGGGAGGGAGGGGACGCGATGACCCGGCCAGATCTTCGTGTGCTATCCTTGAAATCTTCTCTACCACCGTCGACATCTCCCACCACCCAGCCTCCCTTATTGTTTCAAGGAGGCACAGAGGGTGCAGCCTCTAATTGACTCTTTCTTCGGGAACCGTATAGGTAAAGTACGTTCCGTTGAACGACGGTCGGGGAATGGTAAGTTTCACGCAGATAGGGGGTGGGGAGACATTTCAGGGTTTCTCGATCGGATCTAGTCTGTGGGTAGTAAAGGGGTGGTTTAGTTGAATATTCGAGTTGCGGTTTGAAAATCATGTGGTATTGCTTTCTTAACTCTTTTTTTTATCACCACCACTTTTCAAAGTTTTTTTCGTTCGGTGTCCGTTTGGAATTTTACTCGATCGGAGCTGGTGTGTGAGAAGTGAAGGGGTGGTTCATTTGAATATTGGAGTTGTGCTTTGAAAATCTGAGGCATACGCTTTCTTATCTTTTTTTGGATCACCACCCCCTTTTCAACAAAAACTTTTTTTGTTTATAATATTTCACTGCAATCGATCAAATGCGCGATCTAGGTATTATACGTCGATGATTTCATGACGGATTTTCCTCTTACTGTCTGGAGCACACGGGGGGGAATCGCGTGGCACCGCTTCCCGCATTCAGTCCCCGTCCGCTCTTGTTCGGCCCCCGCAACAGGCCGAACGCCCACGCGACCGCGTTTACGCCCACGGAGGCTACAGGACGCCCACGCGCTCCGTGTCCGCTCTTCGATGTGTGTGTACGCGGGAGAAGAACACAGTAGAGGAGTAAGAGGGGAGAGGATTTAAGGGACGCGCGAAACTTTTTTCCTCCAGCCCCCTTCCCCTTTTTTTCTTCGTCGCAACCCACCCCCTGTGTGTGACGTATGTACGACGGTGGCGTTCTCCGTCGTCGAAGGAGAAATGTATTTATCGTTCCCGTTCCTTGAAACGTCCACCCACGTGCGACCGATCCTGGAAATTCGAACACTTCCCCCGTGGTTCTTCGGGGAAATAAAAAACAACAAAACCCCTCCAGCCTCCTGCCGTCCCTCGAATGGATCCGTTTGTCTGGAAATAAAAATCGAACGGTCATTCCAACAATCTGTATTAATTAAACGTGTATATTTTCGACGATTTATGACTGAAAAAAAAAATCGTGTCTGGTTACGTACGACCTTTTTCACTGTGGAAGTCATCGTGTTAATTATCAAGAAATTTCACCGCATGGATCTAGTTTCTCGATCAGTACACCTCTTATTCGTGTCTTCTCGAAGCCAGATGCAGCGGTCGTTCCGAAATGCAGTTCAAACCCTTGGCGACCGACAAAATTCCCGGAAGGCGGACACGGCATCCTCGAGTGTTTACTCGTGATACGAAGCATCCCGGTGAACCTGCGTATTCTCCGTAATTGACCTATTTCCACCATCCCACTGAATCCATCCCTCCGAAGAATCGGTTGCACGCTTGCGCGAATTTCATGTAAATCGCGCCGCAAAAACAAACGGCGACCCCCGTTGTAGGATAGCTTGCAAAACATATACTCCTCCATTCCCCACCCGATTGTGCGAGGACACGCAGAAGCTGATCTCCCCCACGATGAATATTCATCGTTCGTGTGTATATGTATGAGTGATCATTATGCATCCTTGGCGGCGTGGACTTTCTTCACCGGTTGCAAAAGAATCTATGGATAAGAAGCATTTCTATTGTACGTGGATACAGAATTGGGCAGGATTCTATTCGAATTAACACACAACAGCAAAGTCATGGTAGAGACAGGAACTTCCACTGAAACGTAAAATATCGGTATTATATCCTATAGAAACTGAATTAATTGACTTGTTATACCCTATAGTTAATATATTAACCTATTATACCTAAGCTTTGTGTCCGATTGTTACTTCACAGAGACTGCCTTGCATAGGTTGTGAAATACATAAAATCTCATCACCATCGTTATCGTTAGTCTAGTCATCACAGTGACGTTTCTCAAAAGTGAAGCAAACGATCCACACCAGCCATCGCCACGAACGCGAACGTTTCAATTTCTTTTTTTCTTTTTTTTTTTAACGAGCACATCGTTAAAGGTCAGGGTAGTAGCACGCGATCGTCGTTAATTTTCCCGGTCGTGGTATCGAGAAAATTAAAACGCCACACCCCGTATCCGTTCAACGAGGGATGCCTCGTTTCCCCGAAACCCGAGGACAGCCCCCGACCGTCCTGTCCGTTGTCTCTTCCAGTTAAGCGGAAAGCTTAATTCACGCCTCAGTGGAGAGCCGATTATTCCATGGAGGATGACGCCCGTACGAACGTACGAACGGAGAGAGGACCCTCCTCGCTCCGCCGTTAGTAATTACAGGAGAGGTCCTGCGAAATAATATAATCCGACGTGCTCCCGATGGTCCTGAAGGTTGGTCCCCATTGACGTCACCCGGTTGATTCTGGAAACGACGAATCCCCGTTACCTCTCGAGGACCTCTGTAGGCGGGAGGGGATGGGGGATGTACGCGTCGCGCTGAAATCCTCCGTTGGGGAGGGGAAACGCGATGTGTGAATCCCAGGGACGTTCCATCAGAGGGTCCAGAAGAGGAGACGGGTCCTCCCGAAACGACCATGATGGAAAGACCTTGGATTTTCTATTTTCAGACTCGTGACATCGACTGTCATCTGTAATGTCCATGCCCACTTGTCCATTTGCTCGTCATCTTGTTTAAATAGGAACGATATGATTTTCCTGTACATCATTCGGTAAGCAACTTCTCAGATGAGCTTTACTCTGGTCGAAAATGTGTACAGTTACCAAAACGCAGCTGCGAATAGTTTAATTCCAGGATATTTTTCATACGTCCCGATAGGATTTTGGTGGAATTTTGTTCACTTGAACGATAAAATTTTCATTCTTTCCTAAAAAAACAAAGAATTCGAATGATTTGTAGTGAACAAACGGGAAATTTCGTAGAGCTTCAGATGAATTTTTTGTGCTACATTGTATTATTTATTAATGTAATTAATTTAATCTGTCCCCAAGTAGAGATATCGTAACAGTTTGACTCGAAAAATTGGAAGTCAAAAAAAATTATGGAATTATATTTTACCTGCATTGCATCAGAATGATACAAAAATGTTTGGATAATTACATTATTTTCAAGATAGCGATATGCGGATGTTCATTTGTTTATAAGCTCAACGGCGTAAAGCTTCGGTGGGCCAGGCATTCGAGATCGTCGATACAACCCTGCCAAGTGGAAAATATTGCCAGCCCGGGGGTGGGAGACATCCCGAAGGAATAGATCGATGTTTCGGTCGGATGTAGTAAGGGACGCCTGTTGATACAAAAGAGGGGGTAGCTTCATTCATGAAAACAGCAGAACGTGAACGCATAGCCATCGTCTGGAAATTTTCCTCACAATCGACTGTTCTGGTAATGGCATTGCTCGAAAGAGTTAACTTTCTTCCAGATGCTGCTACAAAGTCTATATTAATTACGTAATAAGTATATAAAATTGTATATTATTTACAATTGTCGACAGTTCAATATGATAATAAGTTTAATAAAGTGTGAGCAGTAGATTATGGATTTTTCGTTCATGGATCCATAGTCCACTTACTGTATGGTAAATTGATTCTAATCATAAAATTATGGGAACATTGTATATACAAAGTAGGTTAATTGTACCAATACCGTTACGATTACTATTTTAATCGAATGAAAGATTACTTTAAACATGTATTTCGTACAAGGGTAAAGGTAAACATACGAACTTCCGGTTTGGGTTAGGTTATTCTGAAATAATCCACTGAACGATGACCATTTGTTAATCGGTGTTGTTCGTTATGGGTTGAGTGAGATAGGTTAGTATTTATAAACAAAATACATGTATGATTCCATCCTTTTTTTACAAAGAATACGCTTTTCTCTTGCATCGCCAGATAACACCCTCGACTTACACACACAGTTTCATCATTCACATATCTGCCATACGTATATTATAAAAATCCCTATACTGCCACCATCAACGAAGTATTATCTCTATAACATTCGTTATTGCTTTTCCTGTGTTGCGCGATTTCATTAATTCATTTTCGTGCGAAACATGGACAACAGCCAGAAGAGCCCTTAGACGATTTCATAATTAAAGCTAAAACTCATACTTCGTTTCGAATCTCGTAATTTACTCTCACCTGTTTTTAGCTCTGCCTAAAATTCTTCCTGACTATGCTACACACGTCGCAATTCTAAATAAAAGGTTTTTAAACATCGTTCTCTATAAAATTTCGATATATCGATATCTCGCATCGCTGTTCACACTATATTGCACTATATAATATTACATGTATAGTACATAGTGGCGAGACCAGCAGTGACCAGCGAGACTTGTAATACTGGGCTGCTCCACGTGTTTACATTTCAATATTTCAAGTAGATTAAAGAAAAGAACACGCGACTGAATAAAACTTCCGTGAAATATTCACCATTGCGTTGAAATGTTGGCATTTTGACGTCGCTATTTAAAATTGAAACAAGATGGCAATGCCAAAGCCATTTTCTGTTTAAATAGAACGTTGTAAATACATACAACAGTGACCTGGAGTTGGTATGAAAAGTTGCATGAAACAATTTCAAACAGAGAACAATCAAATGACATTGCCCGATGGTTTATATTTAACATAATTATTGGAAAATTTGTTGAGTGGGAGACGTGTACGAACAAAAATGGCGGGGCCATCGTACAGTATTGTTGAATATTATCCAGGAATAAGCAAAGATAGGTGTGGCTACTGTAACCGTTCGGCTAGCTCTAACTCCAGATATGGCAAGTACAAATATTGTATATTTCGTTCTATATTTCTATTCGTCAATATGTAACCATCTATCTATTAAACTCTCATCGATAGGTTATCTATTTAGCTTTTCATGACAGATGATTGATTAACTGTCATACGTGTTATTTCTTTTCATTCTAAGGTCGGTACATTTCAGGCATGGATGCAATTACCATGGAAGTAGAAGACTATCAAGCTTTATTAGACAGGGGTTGGAGAAGAAGTGGCTGTTACTATTACAAGCCACGTATGGACCAAACATGTTGTCCTTCATATCCTATCAAGTGAGCAAAATAATGTCATACGCACGTTCCATTAAGAAAATATATTTTATATATGACTGTGTATCGTAGCTGCGAAGCATTGAACTTTAAGATTTCTAAGTCGCAGAAGAAAATTCTGAAAAAAATGGGAAAATTCTTAAGAAATGAATTGCATAAAGATGATATGATGGATACAAGAGAAGCAGACCGTAATAATATAGGTGGGAATACTAACAGATTTTTCTAATCTTATATCCAAACATGTACAAGAGAACAGTCTTTAACTGTATTCTTCATTTTAATGATATTATCTTATTGTAGATATTGAAAATCCCCGTTTCCATAAGCATCCTCGGAAAACAGATGCTTCCAGTATAAACATCAAGGCTATTCATGATGAAGTTAATGTAGGATCACAACTTATTAGCTCGGAAAATGAGAAAGAAAGTAATTCAATTATACAACAAGAGCCCTCACAAAGCATACCTCAGGCAACAAGTCAAAGTGAGAATACACAAACGACATCCAGAAGCCTAGAATCTGTAGAAATGAATCCAAATAGAACATTCTGTAAAAAGGCGAAACTTATACGCATAGAACGTAAAAAGGCCAAGTTATTAACACAAGGGAAAAGTCAGGAAGAGATAGATGCTATGTTCAAGAAAGAAAACAAACAACAGAACCAGGGAAAAAGTGTAGAGGAATTGTTTGATGAAGTATTTAGTGCATCAAATAGATTGAAGGTAATATTGTTACTTCAGCTAAATATTACAATACATCATAACTCAAAATTAGCTTTGAATATCGAAAGAACAATTATTTTTTTTCTTTCTCCAAATCAATTATAATATTTCATTAGGAAATTTGGGTGATAAATTTATGTTAAATTAATTAACATTTATAAGGTTACATTAGTCAGAACCTGGCCAATGTCCTCTCAATACCTAAGTACAGAAAAAAAGTCGCATGAGGTGTATAAAAAATATCAAAGAATAATACATGGAGATCCAGAGGCGAAGTTGACATTGGACCGGTACAAGGAATTTCTTGTTATATCACATTTGCAGGTAATGACATCTTTTTATCAGTTAATCGTTCTAAAATTTGTTGTGTATTGAACAAAAGAAATGATACCTTTTAATTCTCCATTGCATGTAATTTAATTGACAAAAAAGTATAACCGGAACAAAGTGTACCCTTTTAAAATGTACGTTACACAGATTAAACGTTTTTTTGAATTCATAACTCGTTTGCAAAAAGTATCCATAGCGCTAAGGGTTTAGTTTTTCCGTTAGATAAAGTTGATCAGAATAAAATCGAACTAATTTTTTGACACTTTCGATGCGAGTGTGGATGTTTCTGAAACATATCAGATGTCTATTCGCCGAGAGTCGTTGGACAAATGTGAGAAAAGATTATTCCGCTGCTATTTTGGAAAACACCCTTTTGGGGTACATTTTGTACTCAACAATACTACGTTAATTGATGGTATTACATATTTTACAAGTTATGTATGATATTATTCCGACTTATTTTCATTTTTTCCGTAAATATATCAATATTTACTAAACAGAAAATGCGCCACTAAACACTTAATTTTTAAGCCATGGATACCAGAGAATGGACCACCAAATGGTTATGGTGCATTTCATCAACAATATTGGTTAGACGATGAACTAATAGCTGTTGGAGTCATAGACATTTTACCATTTTGTGTTTCGAGTGTTTACTTTTACTACGATCCAGCGTACTCTTTCTTATCTCTCGGAACGTTTAGGTTAGTAGAAAAACGTTTGTGTACGTATTATTCTTAATGTCTAATGTCATTAAATCATTTATAGTTCTTTGCATGAAGTTTGCCTAACGAGGCAATTAAATAAAACGGCCAAGGATTTACAGTACTATTGCATGGGATTTTATATAAACACTTGTCCAAAGATGCGATATAAAGCAAAGATGAAGCCATCGAAATTACTTTGTCCTGAAACTTACAAGTGGTTTGACGCAGAATCTTGTATTAAAAAATTGGAGAAAGAAATATACTGCAGGTTTAACGATGACATCGACGCCGTTGACCAAGATGGCATAGTCGATATTAAGAAGGTACTGAAAGAAGTAATGTAATTCCTAGGTCTAAAAAAAGAAAAACAGACATTTGCATAAAAACGTGAATAATCGATTATTTTTTATATTAATATAGAGCAACGCAGTTTTTATTTCAAGATTTTTGTCCGTGATTGTGTATTAATCTGTCTAACTAAGAATTCATTTGTTATCAGGTACTGATCTTGTACAAAGAAACAATAATGCCATTCAGAATCTACAAAGAACGAGCTCGATTGAACGGACATCCTGTATCAAAAGAGGAAGAAGAGCATATCAAGCAGTATGCGATTTTGGTCGGAATGAAGTGTGCTCAACGTATGTTGCTCTTGCCTTATTACCTTTCACTCTCTATAAGTTTGTCTTAATATATTCTCCTTTTCGCATATTTCTGTTTCTCGAGGTCGCTGTAGATTGTAACAAAATAACACTAATTAGAAATAAATGATATTAAATGTATCTGCTTCGAATAGAGTATTTTGTGATCAGGCGCGATCTACAGTGCGAATAAAAGCTTTTCTACACGTAAATACTATTAATTTTTAAATCTGTAGAACCATTTCACCGTAAGAAGGTATAACTGTATTAGAGGAGACCACCATTACGATTATAAAGGTACTTTATTCGATAACGTAACGACGCGAAAGTATCACTTTATACACAACATTACTAAATTACGTACAAAATTAACAAGTTCCATTTGGTATACAAAGTTGTGTCACATGAACAACGTGTCTTGTACTATAAATTTCACTCTCTTTTAAGAAACGCATCCGTGCATCGGTAGATTCATAAAACATACACAACAACGCTAGGCGCCGTCGCGGGACGCTTCGCTTTGCCCGTCAAAGGTTTTTACTAAAATATTCCATTAAGAACTCAGCCACGATTTTCATCCAAGTGAAAGTTCACAACGCTTTACACTCACGCGTCGACACGTAGCCCAGATCTCTCTTTCTCTCTCCTCTTCTTGCTGTCTTAATTTCAATAAAACTGTTGGGTAACACGGTATAAGAATCCTACGGCGCTTTTTCGGGACAGCTAGTCCCTACGAGCTTGTTCCGCGTCGTCCTCGCTGCGAATCTCGTTCCAACTTTGAATGTTACCGCTCCCGCCGAGAACGAAGATCACCATGCAAACCGTGCAGACGCCTGCCCCGATCCAAAACAGTATCTGCCATTTCTCTATAGGATTCTACAAAAGGAAATTGTAACGGAAAAATGTCCAATTAACAATAGTTCGCGGATCTAGCATCATGTTCTGTTCCAACCGTCCCTATCATGTGTATCATATTGCAAATGGTTGAAAAACATGCCAATTATCGCTGTAATTGTTAAAATGATAACGATCAGTCCACCCCGAAGTTTGAACCATGTCGAAGCATAATCTAAGTGTTAGTAATACTGTTAACTAATTTACCAGATCAACTCATATATACCAAATTACCAATATGTATTGCTGTTAAGGATGAAGGCAGTGATGAAGAGCGTTGGATGATATAGTGCATGTGCATGGATGTGAGTGGACCACGGAATGGTGCGACTTGTAGGTACTTCTCGTACTATAAAAAATATCGAAGATATAGAGACAAGCAGTACCCACGAGACGACACCACCGACGACACGATCTAGACAAGCACGAGTATAGGCGATGATTTTTAGCGAGTTCCTACACCAGTGTTGCGGCTAATTCTTGTTACCATTATTGACGTTCTTTATTAGTACGTGCTACTAGTATCCTGCTAGGAATTAACGGATTACTGTGTACCGCGTACGATGTCCAACGAGTCACGCGGGACTACGACACAAGAACAACAAAAGTCTGTTCGCGGTTTCCAAATCGGTGAATTACATAAAACCAGGGCTTGAAATCTGTTATGATTTCGGCTTAGATTCTTGAAACAGTTACAAAGAACTTTTATTCTGAATAACTGTTACGAAGAACCTAAATTTCAGGCTATATAAGTTTTAATTACGGTTCCTATAACAGCTCTCATATCAATATTGTTTAGGCTCTATATCAGTTCCGAATAGAATATATTTTAGAATTTTAATATATATTAGAAATTTATGTTCTTCGTAACAGTTAGTCAGGATAAAGGTTCTTCGTAACTCTTTCAATCGGAACTTTTATATAAGAGTCTGAAACAGTTATTTTCGGAACCGTTTCAAGCCCTGCATAAAACGATACGCGCACGCGAAATCCGTACCGTCGACACACGATACGACGGAATTCGAACGAGCCGCGAAGAACACCTCCGTTTCGGATGCAACGCATACACAATTCCCCAGTACTGCCCGTACTATGAGTTACGCAACACAGTACAAGGCTGGACTGAGGTGTCGAGCATGCCAAGAGCACCTTCACGTGCGACAAGCTGTAACGAGACACCTAGGCTAGCTACAACATATATTATCGACGCGAACAAACAGAAAAAAAAAAATTATGTAATTTCGTGCAAATGTTTCTCTCCGTATCGGTTCGACGCCTCTTGCGTTAGGTGAAGAGGTTGCTAGCGATTCGAAAGTCGGCATTTAGACCAATAATACGATTGCGAGATCCATCCCGGATGCGATCAAATATTTCACATACTAGTTTCGACTAATACCAGGGATAAGTAAAGAGAGTTAAATGATGATTGAAGAGAAATTCCGGTATTGTTACTTTAACAATCTATAAGCAGAGATGAGCACAATTCTATGGAAATAATACATAGTGAGAAACAGCAGTATCTAAGATCGTCATCCTGACCTTTAAACAGTTCACGAGGTTAGATAATTGTTTGCAAAGTGTCTACTCAGCAAAGACTAGCAACAAGCGGATATGGAAGCAAAAGCCCGATGGATCGTGTGTTGGGCGAAACGATCGGATGTGGGAGAAATGAAACTAAAACTTACTCCGTATTTTCCCGCGATCTCCTCGACCAGTGGCGAAATTATCATACCGGACATGGAACCGATCGTGTTCATCAAACCGTATAGAAGACCGGCGAAATTCGGGGACAGGTCCTGATTGTTGGACAGATTCGATATGGCCGCTGCTCCGTTGAAGCCTAATGCGAACACCAGAAATACGTTCGCCAGAACAAATCTACAGCCAACGTAGCCGACCAGGATGAGAAACACGGCTGGGACTAGGTGAGCTGTGAATAATCGAAAAAGACACCACACGATTATTAAAAATATCATTATTGAATGTATTTAAGATATAAAACGGTTTTTCACTATACAGGGTATTCGCAATAATTTGTACCATCGTTTATTTCGTAAACGGTAAACATCAGAAGAAAAAAAACGATGGTACCAATTATCACAAACACTCTGTACATCATCTATTTAACCCGGAAATTACTTACAGAAGACGGTGGCGCCCTTCCGGAGAATGGTGAGAGTAACGATCTCTTTGCGCTTGAGAACGTCGCCGCCCCAGCTGAACACGAAACCCAATAATAACCTGTTCGCCCACGGCAAGCTCGCTGCGATCCCGCCCTTGGTCAGTTCGAAGCCCAACGCTTTGGTCAAATAAAGCATCATCGAGTTCTGATAGAAGAACAATATGAACAGGTTCCCGAAGTGGCAACAGGTCAGGCTGAGAAATGGCACCGAGGTGAGGATCGCCTTCAACGGCGTGTCTCTCAACGAGGGTTTCGTCTTCCTCACGGTACCCGCTTGCGATCTACAAAAACAAAAAAAACAAAATAGCCATCAACCACGAAGCTTTCCTTCGACATGAGAAGTTTCTCTAATTAACTACAATATTACTGACTCTAGAATATATTCCTTCTCCTTGTTCGAGATACCCGGATGTTCCCCCGGACTGTCGTAGGTCAGCACCGCCCAGAACAGTATCCATACAAGCATCAGCAACGAGGGTATGTACCATCCGTTCTCCCATTTCAAGTTCTCGGCAATCATCGCCACCATCGGATAAGTTAGAATCGTGCCGAACGTGCCGCCGAGGAGGGACCAAACGAACCTCGATTTCTCGTCGGGCGGCGACCACTGGGCGACCAACGAGTGACAGGCGGGAAACGTGACGCCACCAGCGAGACCGACGATCACCCTAGTCAACAGCAAAACGACCCAGTGCAGCTGAGCGAGGATCGGACTGATCAACGACACCAACGCGGCTACCACAGAGGTCCATAGAATCGCCTTCTTCGGTCCCCATCGTACCGCCATTACACCGCCGAGAAGATTCCCGGGAACGTTTCCGTAACTGTACGCAGCGATCAGCTGACCTCGTACTTCCGGTTTCCAATCGAACGGACTCCCGTTGAACAGCTCGATCGGCGAGTCCGACGGCCGAGCGTCGTCGGTGCTCGCCCGCGAGACGCGAGCGTTTAACGATTTCTGCGCAATTTGTTCGGCCGCCTTAAGACGCTCGGATAGAATGTAGTCCTCGAGCTCGAGGCCAGGGTCCAACCACGATATCGCACGACGTACACGCGAATCGTCGTCCGTCTTGCATGCTCCGCCAGTGTTGTTACCGCCCTCAGAGTGGATCATCGGCACCGCGAGTATCGGCATCTGCAGACGACACATGTAGTTCGTCCAGCAGGCGGTGAACATCATTATACCGATCATCAAACGCGTCGGGAGCCATCCTGCGAAAGAAACGACACCACTGAGTGAGAGAGCTCGATGCTCGGTCAGGCGGGCGCGGAGTTGGGAATCGATGGAAGGCGCTTTCTTGTGTTTTAACCAGGGCTTGAAACGGTTCCGAAAATAACTGTTTCAAACTCTTATATAAATGTTCCGATTGAAAGAGTTATGAAGAACCTTTAGTTCTGGACGTTTACCCTGAAGTTTCGGTTCTTCGACTGGGATCCCCACAAACCAGCGGAGTATTTCTCAAAATCCGAATTTTCAGGGTAAGATCCCTTGCGAGTATGTACTTTTCATCATCAGTATATTCTATTTTATTCGACATAACCAACATATAAATATATCAAGCCTTCTTGTGGACTAAAATGCGATTCTCGGGGTTCCGTCATGTCTACGCGAAATTTACCATAGGGATGGTTGAAAATTAAGAATTTAACGAATATTCGAACGATTGTGAGAGGATTTTTCGGCCAATAGAAAGGTGAATTGACATCTCGACTCGGTCATCGGAACTTACTCAGTAACTTCCATATCACCGAATCCGGACCCGTGAAGAAGTTGGAGACGCCGGACGCGCCTTCTTGGATAGAATTGAGAATGAACATCGGTGGTCGAGGGAATGATAATATTGGGATTAAATCAAAATAACGCTGGATACCGATGTAAGAAGCGGGTGCCGACCGATTGCCATGCCAACCGTAGTGTCTGATGTTTCGCGAATTTGTTTCAAAATTCAAATTTCAACCTCATCTCTCGCAAACATCTTCAAATCGCTAATTTATTAAGTCTGTGCAACGATATTCGCAAGATCGTTTCTAACTTCAACGTTCACCACATTCATCACCGATCTTTGCGAAGTGGATAAACAAAGGTGGGCGCGATTTTACGAAATTTAACAGTTTAGATAAGTAGCCTATTGATTTACCCTGAAATCAGGGTTAAAGAAAAAATCGTTACGTTATTTTATTAGAATATTTGCTATTTTTCGTGACTAATTCGCTACTGAGACTCAACTGTTTTTTTTTAGTAGTTCCTTGACTGTTGATCGTTAGATCTACTAATATATTAAATAGACAAGCAATGTGTTAATAATATTAGTTTATTGTTTCCTGCTTTTGAAACCTGTCGAAGATAGAAAGCATTTCTTCTAAACTGGGAAAGTTGTGTCTAATGAATACATATACGCTTAAGTGGTCAGGATTCCGCACGAGGGGCCTTTCCTTCTCGATCGGAATGTAATTGGACGGTGTACGTGTGTTTTAACCCTTTCGTTCCCACTGTTGCCAAATGGCTACGTATTTGAAATTATGAAATAAAATATTAATGTCGTGTATTTTTCCTTGTCTGTGAGTACATATACATAATAGTTTCTTCTAGTCTTGTACAGATGGTATGGCAGACATTTGAATATGCACTTAAAAAGTTGATCGGCAAAATAAGACATTCATCCTCAGTTTCCTTCAGTCGATGCAATTCAGGTGTTGAGCACTATTGCAAATATAAAACTTACAAAACTCTAATTGTTTTTCAAATATTTCAAGCTTTTGTTTAAATTTAATTTTTAAGGTTTATTGATCAAAGGTAAGGAAAGCAATCTTGAACATAGAAATACAAGAAAATCTTTGGGGATTATTAAAGAGTTTGGGAACGAAATAGTTAAGAAATACATTCCGTCATCGTCGAGCGACAATTGAATTTTGAAATCTGTAACACGAACACTCCCGTTCTGAATACAAAAAACTGAACGACGATTTATAGTGAATAATTCACCGTGCTACTCGAAACTTTCCTAGTATCTACTATATGGCGCTTCCCCCGCCGACAATACGGGACGGTACAATTACCGTCAGAAAGTTCTCGGCCACACTTTCCAACCGTTTCAAACACCGTATTTACAATACATTTGATTTCGTCCTACAAGATTGTTTACAAAATCATTCCCCGACAATGATGTTACTTTCTGGTCAGAAGAAAAAGAAAAAAATTCAAAATCTGATATACACCGCCCCAGGAGAGTTTACCAATAACGAATCGAGACGGAAGCTTGTTAACGTGCGATTTCGAAATTGTCGCGTATCTAGGAACGCGCCCGATAATAATATTAAGAAATGTGAAACAGACGGTGTGGAGAACGCGATATCGCCGCTGGGACACGACTAAATAACGGACTTCGAAGCAGTATGCAAAGAGCTTTGCGAAATATCTCTCGAATCTTGAATACTTTGGAAATTCCAACGACACCCAGTTCTTTCCTGTATAATAATTCTGCGACAACCCAATTTAAAAGATTTTAATAAGGCCTAGGTCTACTCCCTGTATCGTCGATACGAAGTTCGAATAAACGAAAATAGTAACACGAAGGAATCGACCGTCCAATGACAACTCAATTTAAGGGATCTTAACATAGAAATCTAATGCACCTTTTCAGATTCCTCTGATTTTAAACTAACAAATTAGTGGAGAATTTAGTTCATCTAGCATTAAATAATAATTTACAAGAAACCTAACTAGAGATATAACTTCAAAATTTCAACAAGACTGTATTTCCACCTGACGTTTGCCCAAAGGAAATGAAGATAAAAGACCTTTCTTTCAGTTTCACACTCACGTGGAAAGTACTTCTTGTACAGCTGCGTGTACATTCTGCAGCTTCGCCGGGGAATACACGGAGGCCCAAAGGAAGACCAGCAGCCAAGACACGTCGACAGGGGTTAGGGGTTGGAGACACCTTTCTTCAGGACATCTTCTCGAAGGATTTCCTTTCCCTCTTCGACTACGAACACACTCTTACGACCCCGTAGAATGGAGAACCGCGGACGAGAACACGACACAGACCCGAATCCCGTCGTAGGAGTGACTGATGACACTGGTGATCCAGCCGACGGTATTTAAGGAGCGGGCAGGTGCGAGCGAGTGGGGACACCAGGTAGATCCCTTCCTCGCGTCGAAAGAGGACAACGAGACTCCCGAGGATTGGTACTCGCCCCAACCCCCTAAACTGGAGTGGGGAAAGGGGTACCTTCTTACTGTACTTCGGGGGTAAATTTACAATATTGAGCCTTAACTAAACCCTACCAAACCCTTGAAAAAAGATAGGAATTAAAACGACAAAACGATTGTTGTGTTAACCGATGTTCGGATTGATTTTTCGATGAAATTTGCCAGGATATTTTAACTCGACTTCGATTTGCGTCAAAAAGTTGTTGGGGGTATCAACACTATAGCTGCCAGTATCGAATGTATGCTAAATTAAACTGTACAATATTGTGATATACATAATATAGAATACAATCTTGCATAACATATTCCGTCGAATGCGCTATTATAATTTCAGTGATCGTAAAATAAGAAATTTGGAATCCGTTATTTTGACGTGTTTGATAGTTCTAAATAGTCTTAAGTCCTAAATAGATGGACCTCATTTTATTTTATTTTGTTTTCTCTATTATGTTACAGTAGGCTCTTCAATTCATTTGGGTCCTTCTCTCCATTTAAAAAAACGTTACCATTAGAGAAATCTCAGAAGATATGACCTTGGGATGACCTTCTAATTTCCCCCTACTTTTAATTCTAAATAAGAGAATAATTAAGGGTGGCAGAGTTAGGTGGGACACCCTGTATATACGTATCTATAGAACTTCGATAGAAAAGACACTGGTGTGTTTCTCGGTTTCGCCGTCTCTACGTAAACGTAGGGAAAAAAATTGAACGCAATAACGCCGCGTTGTCGTGCAGCCCGCGATGATCTCCGATTTGACATCGTCGGAACGCGCGGTTTCCTTAATTTTCAATAATTTTCCCGCCGTTTTACGTAACACAACCCGCGCGTCCAACCGCAGAATTCGTTGCAGCCGGGATTCCATTACTCCGATTTTTCGTCCCGTATATAAGCAACCACGGGCACCGTGTAACGTTGATCGTCCATTCATTACAACGAATAACAAGAAAATTCAAAAACAATCTGTATTACCACTAAAACCACCGACGATAAACGCATATTCGCTTCGATCAGTGGATAAACATGAAAAACTATTGAAAATTTAGAAATTAACTAATTTCTTCACTTTCATATCGTATAAAATGTGCAGAAGATTTAAGAAAATGTATTGTCATAACATTTTAATCGTCGTTGTAAGAGTGTATTGACAAGTCTAGTTCTAGTGTTAAAACAAGACTGAAAAGGAGGCATCCTACATCATCCTAGGAATCATCTTAAGATGGCATTTCATTAGAAATTTTCACCCACCTGCCATGTAACCCATACAAGAATTTACCTAATGTTTAATGGACGATTTGCAAAGTAAGAATAAAAAATAAGAAATAAAGAATCTTCGAGAACTGTTATGGCCGCGCTCCTATGCCCTTCTCGATCGTCGTTAACACGATCGATTGTTTATTCCGTGGTGTCCATTGTCTTGGACCGTCCATCGTTGAACTTTCATTGATCGGTATCGGGAGCAGTGTTACCCATAACACAGAGTCGGCTTTAACGTGTCACAACATCGACCACAATGTTAATTGAAACAGGAAGCTGTTCCCATAGCACATCCGCGACCGAGAACTCGGAGGAGGAATTTAAAATAAACACGGTGTCGCTTTGTGCCCGATCGTTTCATCGGACGAAACGATCATGTTTTCGATACCGAACGACTTGCCCCGTTACAAATTCGGAGAACAGAAAAACTGAATAACTGGTTTAACTCTATTTTAAAAAAAAAATTTAATTAATTGATCTACATGCTTCGAATTGGACCAAAGAATACAAATTCACCATAATATAAAGACAATTCAACAACAAATATTCTATTTAGTTCTAACTTCGAAATTTTGAACGATTTTTTTTTCTTAATGGTTGTATGTACTAACAAGAATGAAAAATTTATGTTGATAATAAGATCAAATTTTGTTAACACTAGAACTACCAAACCCGTAAAAATAACGGATTGCGGGTTTCTTGTTTTCAAATTACTGAAATTATAATAGTGTTCTAGACGAAATTTATGTTGGCTTCTAATTTACTGCACATTTTATGTTATACTGTATTACGTTAAATTGTACTATATATTGAGTATATTACTATATTATACAATTTAATTTAATATAATATTCAGTGCTAGTGTTAAATATCGTAATAAATAGCTTTTCAGTAGATAATATAGACAAAATGGCAAAATGAAATATTTTCTTCGTAATCGTTAAATAATTCAGGGCTAAAAGAATTAAATAATATGTAGGGTTTACGATGTTCGTTAAAACGGTTATTAGAACATTTATTTTTTTTGGCGACATTCCAGGTAGAGTGAGGCTTCTCGTGAAATTGCACCGTACCCGGGCATAGCAATAATTATTTGCGCCTTGAACCGTTAGGTCGTCTTACGCGCCATTCTTGTATAGGCACCCCTCGACAATAAACGCGTTTTCCGGCGAAAATCCTCTTGGGGCCTTTCCGGAATAAAATCGAACCGGCGAACGCCTTACGCCCGCCGTTTCAATGGGAACACTGCCCCCCTACCTGGACACGGTTGCTCGACCGTTCAGGTATATAACAACAACGAAAATGACCAATTTACAGGTAAAATATGTATACAGGGTGAGTCACCTAACATTTGCACCTCAAATATCTTTATTGTTTTTAAAGATACGTTAAATGTCCTAAGGACAAAGTTGAATGGTTCAATTGGGCTCACACGATACCAAAAAATTTTTTTGTACAGATATCAAGGTCACATAATTTTTTTAAATGTAACCATCCTTTTTCTGTGACCATGAATGATCTTGAATAATAATAGTCACTGAATTCCTAATGAAAGGAACTATCATTGTAGGTCTTTAAAAAAGGGTGGTTTCATTGAAAAAAATGAAGGTGACATATCTTTAAAAACAACAAAGATATTTGAGGTGCAAACGTTAAGTGACTCACCCTGTATAATCTTTCTTAGTTCAGGGTTTCCCGAATCAACGTGGAGAGAAAGGGATTTTTTCGCCCTTCGCGTGGTCGTAAACAAACAACGCCGGTACATACAAATGCTTGAGCTACGATTGTCCGAACAATTTTTCGGCCGTGCGTCACTCTGAACTTGTAATTTGTTCGGTAGCCGAACGGGCGAATAATTTACCGGTTAAATAGGTAATTAAGATTCGTAGAAAAACGTGTTCTCGCGTATCTCGTGGTTTCGTTCTGTAACGAATACCTATAGATTTTTGAAAACCGTTTCATGAAAACGGATACCATCGAATGTTTTGCGCTTGTCTTAGAAGAGAATTCTATTGAGATAGTGTTGTTAGCTTCGACGAATTTATAACGTATACACGGTAAATGCACCAATGAATGAACATTGCAGAAATTTTGTAACTATTATAGTCGAATTTTAAATGACCAAAATATTGATGAATATTCGACGCATGAAAATTAGACTTTTTAATATCGATTTTATTTTTTAAATTAGAAACTAATTTTAAAAAATTAGATATTAATTAAATTAAAGAGAAAAAATACAGATTTCACCAGTGTTTGAATATTTGAACATGAAACAAGGAATTGAACAAAATTCAATGTTTGCTTATTCGAATGGATTCATTTACTCGTTTTTGTATAGAATGTTCAGTCACTGGTACGTGTTCATTTACTGGTACATTCATCCTAATTCGTATTTTATGTGAAACCTGAAACAATTTACAATTACCAAATTTTATACAAACATCCAAAGTCTGCTGTATTCAGTAATTTCCACTAAAACTATGAAATAATGCAACTGTAACAATTGCATGACTCACCCTGTATAGAAATATAGTCGGGAAATACGTTTTGGAATCGGTATATACGACAACGATTTCGAGAGTTCCACGAATTGTCAGTTCCAGGTATCCTGTAAGTCAATAATTCGGAACCCCGTTATCCTTTGCAGCAAACTCCGAGAGGTCTGTACTTCTAATAGGACCGGGGGATTCACGAAAATGACCTGGTAAAGCTCCAGTAAATGAAAGAAAGGCATATTCCTTCGTTCCCAGGTAAAATCCTGCGTTATTTGCATATTATAATATTCCCGTTATTAATGATACAAGTTTTGAAAATTATAGAAATGTATTTACACGTAAGTATACCTAGACCGGGCTTCTTCTTCGGGCAAAACCTTCGAGGTTGTGTCAAGGTCAGCTTTCTCCTCTCAAATGAAACCATAACATTTTTAAAAGACCACGGTTGAAGCCCTTTTACCCGAAACTAACAACGGTAAGATTTATTTCGAAGGCATAAATTTTTCTCCTGGGGGCCCACTGACATTTCGAAGCCTCTTCAATTCTAAGTATAAAATATAAATATTCTTGTATAGTTGGTCGTGTTCGTTACACCCTCAAATTATTAAAAATAATAAAACTATAATGTGAACGAATATTATAAACTACTGTACGTATTTCGAAACGTAATGCACCACCTTCTGGGGCGCCGTAACGTTTGCACGTTACTAAATGACAAACGTTTCATTTTAATTGGAATTATGTATTCCACGGATTAATCGATAACCAAAATTAATCGATAACCGTTACATGTATATATCTTTTTTATGGGATACAAAGTTCACAGGCGCGGCTACGTGGAAGAAAAAGAAATTCATACAATCAACAGTTGACTCAAGCCAGTCATTTCGAGTGGGAGGAACTTAGGTACTGTGCGTTCCGTTGACAGAATTAAATGAAAGATGAAGAACGGAAATCAGATTGTCGCTGAATCCTTCAAAGAACAGGTATCGGATTTTCTCAATTTTCCTTCTTTCTCTGCATCTGTTTACTTCCTTTTAATCCCTTTTTATTTTAATAATTGTAACCTGAGTGTCATTTTTAAGGTTATGTGGTATATGTATATAGCTGTGGAATAAATTTATTTCTTGCATATTGTCATCGATATCTGCATTCGTAATTCCATATAAAAAAAACACTTACTATTCATTTCTAATTGTTTGGGATCTGTTATTTCAATTTTTTGGTCTACCTTTCGTGTACATATGCATACGAGAGACACAGACATGCACCGAGAATTTATCTTATCATTTATGACAGGATATCACGATCATTACAATGACTGTAATATATATAGGTGGTGCGCAGTTAAACTTATTATCGAAAAGTTTAATTTTTGGAAAATAAGAGATAAACTTTTTATACAGTCATGCTGTTATATTACCTCATAGCGAGCTTTGAATATTCATACTTTTCGTCTCTTTAAATCAACTTACGAAAATCAAACTCTCAAATGTTTAATACTCGAAAGAACTTTTAAGTATTAACGGCTTATATTGGAAACTTTATTTATCATATCCGATCATTTTGATCGTATTCTTACTGTTCGTCAGAAAACAATTTATTCAGTTAAAACTAAAAAAAAAGAGGTTCATTAATGTCCACGGGTGTTTTTATTTTATCGTGTTTTACGTAAACGCGTAAAGGTCAATCTGTTGCTCGAATAATTTAATTTCTCACCTGATATACGTTTATATTTCGCAAATCACGGAAGGAATAAGTTTAAATGCAATGAAATATGCACCAGGTGTGCACATATTGGAAACATCAAAGCATTTATGACTCAACGCTCTGTAGACTGTTCCATGAACTACTCGAGATCGTCTAACACGCTAGTCAAGGAAGACTTGAATTAATTATCATTTGTTCATTAGTCGAAAATTAGTTATTATTCATAATTTAGTAACGTGACAAAATTACAAGACTCACGTATCTTCGGTCGCGGTATTAGCGGAAGTCGTTCCTCTGCGTTGCGGAACGTGCTGCCTCCAATTCCTCGGTTCATTTTCGATCAACAAATTTAACGGACAATTTTAAATCGCGGTCATCGTGCGAATATTACGTTAACGACTGTTTTCCTCGTGCCTCCCGGGGCAATTATGTTCGACCGCTACGCAGTAGCTTTATTGATAATGGATACATACACAAATAGTAGGTACACGCGTACTATATATATTAACAAAGCGTGGTGATGATTGACATCCAGCTCGAACTGAACAATGTATACATTCGATTAATATAAATACCAATTTGATAACAGACAAGTACGTTTAGTTATTGCCAATTAAATGGAAGAAACATATATAAATGTTTTCACGTCACGTATGATTTCCTGTCTATGAATGCCTTATATGATGACGCGGGAGAAAGAGTGCGTATATCGTGTATTTACTTTGTAATATTATTATTCTGTGTATCAATGATAATAATACTAATAATTATAATTTAATTTCTTTGACAGGGCATCGAATATGTTTTCGGAATAATGGGACATCCCGTGATCGATCTGGCTCTGTGTATGCAGGCTGCAGGCCTCCAGTACCTGGGCTTTCGGAACGAGCAGGCCGCTTGCTATGCCGCCCAAGCATATGGATACCTGACCAGTGAGTGGGAACTGAATAAAGTTTATGAACGTAGGAAAAAAATGATTTCTCGAGAAGCCGAGCAAATGATTGGAAGAACCTAATATTAAAATAATTATTGGTCCGCCTAATGGACGTATTTTTCACTGTGTAAACGTTACTTTTAATTTAAACTACGATATTCTTTTTGTTTCAATTAGGAAAACCAGCGGTCGTTTTATGCGTTTCCGGGCCAGGATTGCTGCACGTAATCGGTGGAATGGCGAACGCTCAAGTCAATTGTTGGTGAGCATCGTTCGGATGGTCTTCACCTCCGTGCTACTTCTGCGCAGAACAAAAAAAACGAATTACGATTCGAGAGCTTCGTGTTACACGATTAATCTATCGCACAATAGGGAATTATCAACACGGCGCGTTTGAAAATATTGCTGTAGTTATTATTACGAATTACGAATACATCCATACCTCGCTTTACGGCCTAGATACGTTCCGGAAAAGTTGGCCGTAAAGCGAAAACCCGTATAACGAATCAATTATTTTGATACGAACCCATAATACAAATGCAATTGGATCTGTTCCAATTTTTTATAAAATAATACAGTTTTTAGTTCATAGAGCATTTTATTCTTTTTATTTCCAAACAGTACAGCATTTTTTTTGCTGTATAACGACACATTGTGGGTCGTAAATCGAAAAAGTGCCATAATTAAAAAAGGCCGTTATAGATAGCGAAATGCCGTATAAAGAGCGGCCGTATAGCGAGGTATAGATGTACTTCCATTCATATGTATCTTTCATCTGACGGTAATCTCGTATCAAACGATTACGATCAATTATGTAACCTGGCCAGCCGTTCATTGTGCTATATTATTAAAGAAAATACACGGCGTGTAAGTTAGATAATGATTATGTAAACGTGTGTCGTGCAGTAACCGTGTTAAAAGATGATACATGTAGAAGCGTTAAACCGAAGTAGCCGGTTGTTACATGTGAAAAGAAAAAAACAAAAGGCTCAGCATTTTCTGGCAATAAAATCAACTAGTTTCAGGCATTTTAGGGCGAATATTTCTGCGATTCATCGGGTATAAATTTTTACCTAGGCCGCTCATAGTAATCGGCGGGTCCTGCCCTCAGGATCACGAGGGTATTGGTGGTTTTCAGGAATGGCCACAGGTAGAATCCAGTAAACCCTATTGTAAATACGCCGCCAGGCCACCGCAAGCAACGCTCATACCGCTTCATGTGGAAAAAGCCGTCCGTCTTTCCACTTACGGTCGACCAGGTATACTTATTTCAAGCAATTCACTGCCATAAGACAAAGACATTATACAGTTCATCTTTAATGATACTCACAGGCGCTGCGTACTTGGATTTACCGGCGACGATACTGAATCAGTCCGTTGATGAGGAGAAAATATATAAAGTGGCCCCCTGTCCACCACCGCCATTGATATTTCCTGATCCCCAATCAATAGAAGAAGCGGCCAATTTGCTTATGAAGGCTAAGAAGCCGCTACTCATTGTTGGAAAAGGTTGATATTATTTCTTTGTTATGTAGAGACTGATTCATCGTTACTTCGTACATTGAAATCACATTTTACAGGAGCTGCTTATGGCAGAGCGGAAAATGAAGTTCGCAACCTCGTGAACTCGACGGGTATTCCCTTCCTCCCCACACCAATGGGAAAAGGCGTCGTTCCAGATACGGACGAACGATGCGTATCCAGCGCAAGAACTTTTGCGTTACAACAAAGCGATGTTATTTTATTACTAGGCGCCAGATTGAACTGGATGTTGCATTTTGGCAAGCCACCCCGTTTTCAATCCAACGTTAGAGTGATACAGGTATTATTTTTTATCGAACCGAGTGGTCAATAGACAAATAAAAAGAAAATGCATTATTACATCCTAGATCGATATATGCCCTGAAGAGTTACACAACTCTGTGCCCTCTGCAGTAGCGATCCAGTCTGACGTGTCCACAGCGGTGGAATGTCTTGGTCGTATTTTAAAAGCTCGCAAGTGGTCCATCGAAGGAAATAATCCATGGTGGAACGACCTTCTGGCTAAAGCAAATATAAATAAATCTATGGTTCATGTGAGCATCATACTTCAAATTTGATAATTACTGTCACTATGATTTATGCGTCCTCACTGTGTTTTCTTTTTTTACAGAGAATGTCAACGGATGTTTCTGTACCTTTAAATTACTATGCGGTTTTTAAACATATACAAGATATTATACCACCAAGTTGGTATCTATGTTCGCATAAACAAATGTAACATTGAAACATGGAAAGACAGTGAATATTTATTAAATTTTTTTTAGAGTCTATCATTTGCTCAGAGGGAGCCAATACAATGGACATTGGAAAAACAATGTTGCTAAACGACGAACCCCGACACAGATTAGACGCCGCTACGTTTGGCACCATGGGAGTGGGTTTAGGTTTTGCTATTGCAGCCGCCCTTTATTGCAAGAACAATGCGCCTACGAAAAGAGTATTTTGCGTAGAAGGTGACAGTGCTTTTGGATTTTCTGGCATGGAAATTGAAACTATGTTTCGGTAAAATTTATTACACTGACCAAATAATAAAAGTAACACATGAACTTTATCGGAAGTTCTTAAAAATCTGAATTGTAAAATAATACAAAGGAATTTATTTCTACATTGCACTATCCTCAATGTTTCAGATACAAATTGCCTATCATTATTATTATTGTAAATAATAACGGTATTTATGGTGGGTTGGATACTGAAACGTTCAGACAATTGCAGTCTTCCGGAGAACCAACGCAGGTGTAAGTTTTTTAATACACTCAGAATATTATTTCAATAATGCACTTTATTACATATATGCACATTCGTTAAAAAATAAGATCAAAATTTCATTTTTAAATTCTTATAAAAGTGTATAGTATACTTTTTGTACATGTTTAGAACACCGCCGTATTCATTAACATCTGAAACACATTACGAGAAAATGCTGGAAATGTTTGGTCGAAAAGGATACTTCTGCACAACTGTACAAGACATTCAACGGGCAGTGAAGTCGTGCCTTCAGGTAAATATGTTTTAAATAATTATTAAGAAACTATCATTTTAAATATAAATTAACTTGCAGGTGAACGATGCTCCTAGTCTAATAAATATCATGATCAATCCTCAAGCTGATCGTAAAGAACAAAAATACAATTGGTTAACAGAATCAAAACTTTAAATTTGCTTAGAACTGTAAAATAATTGTTTGGTCAAACTGTAAAGAGATGTATTATAATTAAACTGCAGATTTGATGCATTTAACTGTAAATATGAAGAATACAATAATGAAGATTTTATTTTACTTTTTCAAAATTGAAGTTATAAACATATGAATTTGCATAAACGTCTACAGTTTAATTACATTAAAATCACTTTTTTTCATTAAGGTGTAAGGCTTTTTTGTATAAATATACGAACATGTACAAAGTATTTAAGAACAGAAACTAAAATTACATATTGTTTAAACATGCTGTTATCTTCTTTTGAAATTCAGCAGAAGACAGACAACTCTTCAAATCGACCTGAAATTCGTTTTCTTCCTCATTGTTGTGAAGAACATCTTCAACATTTATTCCCATACCTTCAGCCGCAGCAGTCAGTGTTTCATTTGCGTTGGTTACTGCTGCACTGAGCTGACCATTCTCTTTTATGAGTTCATTAATTACTCCTAGTTCATTCTTTCTGGAAACAAAACAGTCACATATTAATGATATTTAGAAATTAATAACTAATATAATTATTTAAAAAAAAAAACAATTTTACATTTTCAACGTTAATCGATTAATGGAAAGTAATGTTTGATGAATTTCAACTGTAATATCAGTCCCTCTAGCGTCATCCGACGTCATATTTACTATAAATTACCGGAGATCCACAAATCAATATTTACAGCGGCTGAACTTTACTTAGGCTTAAATCATCTAGTATTGTCATAAAAATTGGTCCGTTCCTTCATTACATACAACTCAAATCTAAACAGAAGAAATACTATATAAAAACTTATAAACCCTTATATAGAATACAACCTGATTCATACAGAAATCCTATAATAAATACATATATTCAAAATTCATCTTACCCAGGACATTTCAGAACACCCAGTATAGAAAATAGCGATTCTCAACACACCATATTACAACCAATGACAGATCGGAAGTAAATTATAGGCTCCCTGAAGATTGTTAACTTTTCATTGGTCACCCTAGTGACTCGAATGTGCTTGACAAAGTCTAAAATTAATTCGATTTCTCCGTGAGCTTGTGTCAAACGAAATTCTGTTTGAAAATGGTTCACGGGTAAAAGTATAATCGTGTAAATTTTCCGGAATTAATTTCTTTTTATTATTGTCGGTTGCTAACCGCAATAACGTCCTACCAATCGGGATACGTATGTAAATAGAAACTGTTGACTGTCGTTTCGCCAATGCATGCAGTGACGTCACTTAAAATAGAACCTTGAAATCGTAAATTATCGTTAAAAAGAAAGATATGACACCAAAACACCAAGCATAGAGCACAGCGAGCAGACGAAACGTGCCGCGATGATGAAGCAGGAACGCCCGTAAGTCGGAGTCTGCGGATGATCGAGGTTAATCGTTTTCTGGTAGCACGACTCGAAATACTAGCTCATCAACGTAATTTCGCTCGAGTGCATGACTTTCTTATCAGCTGATGCATCAGTGTCGTGCTGTGGATCTGTGTGATTCGAACGATCGTCGAACAATTTCCATATATTTAGACGTTTATTTGATCCGCGTTTGGCGGATGTGCTGGAAAGGAGAGGAAGCGTTTCGTCAGTTTCCTAGCAGACCCTGCCTTAGATACGGGGATATTCGATGATCGGGTAAGGACGTATAATGACGTATAATTGCGTATAATATTCAAACGAGGAAGGATTCAGGTGAGGTGTCAACTCGGTAGACCTCTAGTGGCGAATGTAGGGAAGTAGTACCGCCTGTGCCGCCACACCTGGAGGCACTTCCGGGATAGTGTTTGAAAGCGGAAAAAGACGAGTTTGATATTTGAACGGCGCTGATGATTGGCTATATGTTGCATGCGCATTTAGATGCTGTGGTGCGCATGTACGGTCACGTCGCGCTGCCTAGCGTTAAGTTTAATTATTGAGAAAGTTGAGGTTAAGTATTGTTGAAGTATTGCTGTTAACCGCTGTTAAATATGTCAGTTTTTGGTGTAAAGGAGGATGGTCAGACTCTGACCGTCAGGGGCCGAAATTTATTAACCACTTAGGCACCTAAAATTTTAGTAAGGCATCATTCTATAGATCTCAAGGTATTATGAATGTGTAATTATTTATAGTAAATGTGATGGGAAAGTTGTAAAAAATGTAGATGAAGTTGCCGGTGCACCGAAAGACGAATTACAACTTGTTGACTTCCAATGATCGTAACTTCGAAACGAATGCATGAAATACAAAAATTCATTTTGTAACGAAAAGTCGATATTTATATAATACGTAAAGAAATAATGCCGAAATTGTTTATAACGCTAAATTGCGACAAATCAAAGGAAGGTATTACCATGCAAATATTCCGTGAAGTATGTTTCTAATTATACTATACCATATTTCTAAAACAAGGTGGAATATATTGAACGCGAAACATTATTGTTATACTTCATATTCCTCTTCTTTGGATGATGGTTTGCAATAAAATCATCGTTAATGATAGGTATGCGATGTATAAGGTGCAATCATGACTGTGCAGTTTGAAGTGTTTATACTTCAGGTGATTATTAAAAGGACCAGATTCCAGTGTGTCAGCTGTAGCATACTTGCCAAAACAAGCTGCCAAACAATACAAAAAAAATTGCATATAAGAAATGGATGATAGAATGTAAATAGATAAATGTAAATATGTATATCTGGACCCCAGAGCCACAGTGTATTAAGTCACACTTTTCAAACTTTAGGGGAGAGCAAATTGGAACTGTTTGGTAAGAATTCAGCAAGAAACAATTGCTACCTTTGAATTATTTAAGACAAGTCTCTACATGTAGAAATGGTGAAACTTTGCATTAATTCCCCTATGTGATGGACTTTACACTGTTTTAAAAATATCAACTTACTATCATTTATAGACTATTATATACCTATGTATATTAAAAACTAGACGACTTAGAACAAAATCATTTTTTCCATTGGAAAGAGTAAAATATTTGAAATAGGAAACATGTAAAATGTCATTTTTTTTTAAAAGTGGACTTAATACACTCTGGCTCTGAGCTCCAGGTATATGTAAGTGTAAATATGTAAATATAACTATTATTAAGATATAGTTTTGTACAAAAGGACATGTTAGAATATATTTTAACTTATATTATGTGATATATGTGTCAATTAGTGAACCTCCCACTACTCATATTTTTACAATGTCAATTGTAATTATATAAAGTGGGTAAAAGGTATAGCTATTGATGTTAACAAAAATGTATATAAAAAATATTGATAGTATTTAATTTAATTATTATAACGTTACTTTGAAGATGAAAGTATGACATTGACACTTTTCTCATACCATCATTATTTGTTACATAAATTTTTGTTAGCATCAATAGCTATACCTTTTACTTTACACACACGGTGTACATGCATTCAAATTTTGCGGTGTTTGGCCGCCATATTGTATTATAGTTCCGATTAAGGTTTCATATTCCAGAGGACGTTTAAAACACTATCCCACCACCTAACATTGGAGTTTCCTACCCCTGCGCTACACGCGTATTGTCATGGCAGATTTCGCGTTGAACGAACTCAGTGGCGATCAGACTGAGAAGATCCTCCAGTTCCAGGTGACTTGTTCACTTCACATGCTATGTCTTTTGTTATTATGCATTCAGTCTTTCTATGACATGATTGAGCCATATTATTCGAATGATTTCAGGATTTGACTGGCATCGAAGACCTGTCAATCTGCAGAGATGTCTTACAAAGGCATAACTGGAACCTGGAGGTTGCTGTACAGGTAAACTTTTGTAACTGTATCACCTACGACTAGGCCTTTTACAATCCTGTGCTAGAAATTTTCAATGCAAACATCCCAGAAAACTATGGTTGTGTATATAGGTCAATTGTGCAACACGGGTATCAATAATATCTCAGGGATTCATAAAGACTCCTTAACAATCACTGTGCATTATATTCTGTAAGTATATGTATGATTGAATTGACTTTATACTTTTCTGTATGTTTAGGAACAGTTAAATTTGTACGAAGGAAGGCCGTCAATGTATGCACAAGATTCACGATCAAGGCCACCACAAGTTGTTGATGATAGCAGTTCGAGAATATATTTCCATTATTCTGGAAGTTCCAGTGGCAGTGGTAGTTACTTATGGTATATCTTTTCCTTGTGTTATGAAAGAGTAATCAGTATCCTGCAGCTAGTCCTCTCAATATTTAGAGGGAATGCTGGACCTGGTAAGTTTTATCTGTATAATAGTTACACGCTATTTAGAAAGCTTTAAAAGTTTATAAAAAACACTGAAAGAACAATTGTATTTCAAGTGTCCTCCGACCCAGTGGAAGATGTAATTAACTTCATTAGATCCTATGAAGAACATTATGGTAGCAGTCATCCTGTTTTTTATCAAGGGTCATACAGCCAAGCTCTTTCTGATGCAAAACAAGAATTAAGATTTTTATTGGTCTACCTTCATAAAGATGAAGCTCAAGACATTGATCAATGGTGCAGGTAATTTGTCATATAATGTTCCATGAATTTTCTATGAAGATAGATAATACTAATCCTTCATGTACAGGAATACCTTAAATAATCCAGAAGTAATTCGATTCATAAACATCCGTACTTTGTTTTGGGCATGTAATGTACAATCTGGAGAAGGCTACAAAGTGGCTGAAGCCCTCAGACCTGGTTCTTATCCTTTCCTGGCTATTATTGTTTTAAAAGATAACAGAATGACAATAGTTGGCCGGTATGTAAACAATAACTCATACATGTTTCTGTACTTTCGACTTGTTTACAAGAATAATAATTAACAAAAATTATAATTCCATAAATTATAGAATGGAAGGTACACCATCTCCTTCAGATGTTATATCTCGTCTGCAAGCAATTATAGATCACAACGAAATTAACTTAATACAAGCGCGCCAAGACAGGTAAAAGGAAAAGTACGAATATTTCAATTTTCTAAAATTTATTTTCCAAATATTCATTATCCCGTAACTACAGAGCAGAACGTAGCGCTGCGCAATCATTGCGCCAGCAACAAGACCAAGCCTACGAGGAATCGTTACGCGCGGATCAAGAGAAGGATCGGAAAAGGGAGGAAGAACGAAGAGCTCGGGAGGAGCAAGAAGCTAAAGAAAAAGAACAATTAAATGCACAAGAATTGGAAATCCAACGTGTTCGTCGCGAGAAAGAACTCACTATTCACAAAGTACCCTCGGAACCAGAATCTAATAATCCTAATGCATGTCATCTTCTAATTAAGCTCGGGGAGAGAACAATGAAAAGACGGTTCCTCATGTCTGATACAATAGAGGTAACAAATGATTTTTTTTAATACTCTAGTGTAATCTTCATAGTGCACGACGTATAAATTTACATAAATATATTCACTATTCGATATCACTTCGATTCACTTTTCTCTAGGATGTATATCACTGGATCTTTAGTCAACCCGATTCACCAAACTGTTTCGAAATAACTACAAGTTATCCAAAAAGAATTCTGTACCCGTGCAGAGAAATCTCAACTTTGTTGGCTGCTGGACTAAATCAAAGAGAAGTTCTTCATGTTAACGACTTAGACGATTAACCTCTAATGATTATTCAGTGCTGCATTCTTTGTGTTTAAGTATCATTCCGAGGAAAAAATGGTACTGTCGTAAGAGACATTTATCAAAAGGATAAAGCAATTGTAAAACAGATCCATGATTAATATCAGAGCAAAGAAATGAATCAAAAAAACTATCTGTTACATCGCAGCTTCTGCATAGAACTACCTGTATCAGCTACTGTATATTACATTTCTCATGTACTGTGAATAACGCGCTCACTAAAATACACGTTGAATTAGGGAAGAGCAGATTTCGTTTTAGAAACAAAAAAGGGAAAAAAGGAACTTCTATACAATACGATTTCACAAAAGCTGTACACCAAACATTTATTATACTCGTCTTAATATTTTTTAGCTTAAATGAGCCTCTGTAATAAGCTGGCTAAGAAGTGTAAAGTAATTTATTAAAAAAAAGAGAAAATGGATGAATGAACGATGCAATAGTTATAATTAAAGCACAAATTTAATGTACGAATATAAAGTTTACGATATTCGGGAAATTAAAAGTTGTGTGCTCATAACATTGCATTGTTTTAAATCTATAATTTAGATATAACTGAAAAAGAATTTCGAACAAAAGTGATTCCTTCTGCGTCTAACCGTTTGCACAGTTCTGGTCAGTCAAATATTGGTTTAAAATGAAACTGGGGAAATCGTGAATAGATTTATCGAACACATTGAATTATAGAAAAAAGAAAAAAAGGTTAAGGGATAATAGTTTATCCTAGGAGGTAATCCAATTTTTTTTGTGTCACGATTTTATGAACACGCACCTAACGTTAACTACCTTTTTTCTGACTGATTATGTCTTTCAGTCTCCTCTAATTGAAGGCTAAATTAAACGTTATATA